ACCTTCGACGGTGCGCGACGCTTACTCGAAGCTCGGCACGGTCGTCCCGATGCCTCGCACGTAGATCCCGGGACATCTTCCGCATTCGGCGAACAATAGGGCCACTTAACGCCGCTCGGCCAAGCGCGCGCTTCGCTCCAAGCCACACCGAAGTAGCCGGTCTTTCCCGATTAGGTATCGAACCTCGCGGCATGCCTTCAACGACGGATACCGGTCCGAAGTGGCCATATGTTGCCCTTCATCTCCGCGTTCGGCATGATGTCACTCTACCGATGGACTTGATGCGTGCCACTCGGTGAGGCAGCTTCTTGAGGAACAATGCAAAGCCCCTTGTACCAGGGTGCCACTTTCGATAGTCGTAGCGTCCTGTGTAGTATAAAATCTGTCGTACTTCTCTCTAAAAAAATACTAAGATCCGGTTCCCCCCTCGAGTTCAGAGCTCACAAGTCGAGTTCGCCCCGCATCTAAGCCTTCAACTGCGTCACTTCGTCCCTCGCTGCGTAACCTCGAAACCTCGTCCACGGCGTTTACTCGTCGATACCGTCTCGACGAACCCTTCGACTTCGACTATTGTCGAAGAAACTGCGAACCGCGCCCTAGCTAAGTCCACCCTTCGAGTCGTGTCCCTTCCTTCTACGATACATCGAAGAGCTCTGCCGAGCTTCGATCGTCTCCGCTAACCACCCACAGCCTCCGAGTAGCTTCGACGACGTGTCGAAGCCACCTCGTACCTTCCCCATCATTCGTAGCCTTTTCCAAGGGCGTTTCTCGTGTTCACTCGAACCGCGGGACACCTTGCTGCTAACTCCCCTCTCACTAGACTATAATCCGTCTCTCTAGTCCCTTTAGGTCGCACCCAGGTTAGGGGTTAGGGTTTCGTAGGTCGTATCATCGGCTATGAGGGCTGGCGCATTTGCAACATTGCGCACTGGTTCCCATGACGTATGCGAGTCGTCATAACCCTTCCATTTGACAAGGTACTGCAGCTGACGCCGATCAATCTGATGTCCACGATGCCTGTGGCCGCAGATCGGCTTAGAATCCTGAAGGAGATCCGCGATGATACGCGCTCCATGCTGGAGCTATCAGCAGAACGGATGAAGGTGTACTATGATAAGCACGTGCAGGAGGCACCGGTCTTTGCGCCAGGGGATAAGGTCTGGCTCGATGCTCGGAACCTTAAGCTGAAACAGCCGAGCAAGAAGCTCAGTCCCAAGCGCCTTGGACCATATGCCGTGCGGTGAAAGCTCGGAGACTTAGATTATGAGTTGGTTCTGCCGCAGTCAGTGCCTGTGCACCCGGTGTTCCACGTCTCCTTGCTTAGCAAGTACACGCGTAGCGAGATCCCGGGCTGGGAGCCGGAGGAGCCGCCTGCCATTGAGGTTGAAGGCGACGAGGAGTACGAGGTTGAGCAGATCAAAGATTCAAGGATCTTCCCGCACTTGGATCTCAGGGTGATATGCCTGATTCAGGAAGAAGGGGGAGTGCCTGGTTGCCGAATGAACTCTATTGTTCAATGCAAATTCGGCAAGCGGCAACTGTTTCGCCCAATCATCCTGCCTGTGGCTTGTGAAAGCATGCAGGTACTGCTCGATCTCCTGATTCCAGCGCTCGGTCTGGCCATCCGTCTGAGGGTGGAACACTGTAGACAGCGCCGGCTCGATCCCTAGTCCCTTGTATACCACATGGAGGTACTTTGACATGAACTGGGGACCTCGGTCTGATATGATCTTGGCCGGGGCCCCATGGTGTCTGAACACATCGCGGATATACAGGTCTGCTGCACCTTCTGCCGTCAGGGTCTTATGACAGGCGGAAAAGTGGACCTGCTTGGTAAAGCGGTCGGCGGTAACTAGGATCGAGTCAAATCCATCAGACTTTGGCAGGCCAACGATCATATCAGTGGTGATGATCTGCCATGGGTGCTCGGGGATCTCGTTTGGCTTCAGCGGACCCTGGGGCTTGGCTGGGAATGTCTTGGTATGGTTGCACATGTCGCAGGTGCTTACGTACTCATTGACGAATTTGGACATCCCTGGCCACCAGTAGTTCCATGACACGAGCTCGAGGGTTTTGGCACAACCGCCATGACCAGCAATCAGCGAGTCGTGGTGGATCTTGACAATATCCTGCCAGAGCTCTGCGTTCTTTGGGACATATACACATCCGCGGAACAACAGAAGCCCTTGTTTGGCATTCCACTCGTCAAAGCCCTTCTGTAGCTGGGGCGGCCCGAGGTTCTGCACCTTCTCAAGTGCCTCGGCCACTACCTGATCCTTCTCCGAACATTCCCTGATGCACCTCAGAAGCGACTGATCGGCTGTCACCGAGGCGTGCCCACGCTGTGTGGCGGCGATGCGGAAGTGCTCCTGTTTGAGGACAATCTGATCAGTGTTGTCATCCTCATCGCCGACCTGATGGTCCGATCGGCGTGACAGGGCATCAGCTTTTCCATTCGATGTTCCAGCTTTATGTGTGATGTGGAAGTCAAAGCAGGCAAGGAATAGCAACCATCGCGCTTGACGACGCGTGAGGTGCTGTGACGTGCACCAGTACTCGAGGTTCTTGTGATCGGTTACGATCTCGAATTGTGTGGGCAATCCCTCGAGATAGTGGTGCCAGTTGTCCAGCGCTTCAATGATCGCGAGCATCTCCTTATCGTAGATCTCGTAGTTACGCTGGGCAGGGTCCATAGCATGAGATCGGAAGGCAACCAAATGCCATTTGTCATCGTCCTGCTTCTGCATTAGCACACCACCGGTGGCATACCCAGAGGCATCAACCTCTATGCGCGTCTCGCGGTTGAGGTCGTACAATGCCAGCACAGGGGTTGTGCCGAAGAGCCGTTTGAGCTCCTCAAAGGCATGCTGCTCCTCATCGCCCCAGTGCCAGGGGTCATTTCCTGTGAGTCGGTCGAGTGGTCGCGAGATCTTAGCGAAGTCCTTAATGAAGCGGCAGTAAAAGTTGGAAAACCCCCGGAACTTTTGAACGTCTTTTTTGTTCCGGGGTACCGGCCACTCATTAATTCCTTTAAGCTTCACAGGATCCATCACTACCTCATCGCCACCAAACACATAGCCAATGTAATCGACCTTGGGAATGTCCCATTCGCACTTCTCAGGCTGCAGGAACAGATCGTTTTCCTGAAGGCGGCGAAGAACCTCATGTGTGACCTTCTCATGCTCCTCCTTGTTGGTGGAGAAGATAAGAATGTCATCGAGGTACACGAGGACCTTGCCACCGATGATGAGATCATGGAAGATCTCATTCATCATTGCCTGGAAGGTTGCAGGGGAATTGGTAAGGCCAAAGAACATCACCAGGGGTTCGTACAATCCCTGGTTAGTTACAAAGGCAGCCTTCCACTCGTCACCGGCTTTGATCCGGACATTATTGTATCCCCATCTGACGTCGAACTTCGTGAAGAGCGTAGCACCGCGGAGCTTGTCTACCATTTCGGCGATCAGCAGCAGCAGATAGCGATTTTTGACGGTGATCGCATTCAGTCGGCAATAATCCTGCACGGGTCGAAGTGTCCCTTCCTTTTTTTTGATGAAGAAAAAGGGGGATGAGATGGGTGACTTCAACTCCCATATGTAGCCTTTGGCTAGCTGCTCCTTTAGGAACTTGTCCAGTTCCTCTTGCTCATTGTTTGACAAGGGATATACCTTCGAATGGAACATCGAGTAGCCCGGCATGACTTTGATCACATGATCATACGGCTTTCTTTCAGGTAGCTGTTCTGATGCTTCTTTGGAGAAGACGTTCAGGAACTCGTGGTACTGCTTTGGTACTGACTCCTCGGCGGTCTTAACGACCTTCTTCTTGATTTCTTCCTCAGCGAACAGCTGGGAGTATGTATGCCCTGCTGCGATGAACAGCTGAGGAGCACTGGAAAGTGTGATGCCTTGCTCCCAGGCTTCGATCAAGTCGGTTTCTGTCCACTCTATTTCCTTCGGATCATCTTTGGGTTCGAAGTCCGGGAGTACCTTACTTTGGCAGGCACTGATGACTGACTGTTTGGACTTCGGCGAACGCCTGCGCACCGTGGGCCTGACCCCCATATCACGCGCAGTCGTTGCATGCTCCATTCGGTTAGTTTTCCTAGCCCCGCACGTTTCAGGGCATTGTGACAGCTTGAGAGAGCCATTCTCCCAATCTATTTCGGGGTTGTGCTCTCGCAGCCAGTCCAACCCGACAATCACATCCTCTGGACTGATGTCTGTGACTGTAAACACCATCTTCTCGACGTGTTCTCCTATCTGCATCTGTAGTGCAGCTACTTCCGAGATGCTTCCATCTTTGTTGAGCATTCCATCGATATTGTATAGCAGAATTGGTTCCTTTAATTTCCGCATTTGTACTCGATTCTCTTGGATGAAACACTTGTTGATAAACTTCGTGGTGGCTCCGCTGTCCACCATTGCAACTATGTCCTTGTGCCGTCTTTCTCCTTTGAGGCACACTGGGATGTGGAAATGCTGAGACCCATGGTCCAACTCGTACACATTTGCAGTCGCCAATACATTGTACAGATTGTTATTACGAGGCCCGATGCATGTGGCACGAAGCGCGGACCTGATCAAAAACCCTCCTCCTTCATCACCTGGTAGTGCTCGAGCTCTTCGCGCATCGACTTCACCTGTGCCATTAAGCCCGCCAGCTCCAATTGCTCGGATTTTGCTGAAGCGGCACTTATACTTGCCGAGGGTGATGTCGTGACGGGGGTGCTTGTTGCGGCCTGGGTGGAACCCAAGGCAACCGTAGCCTGCGCATCAGCGCGTTTGGTGTAAGGCTTGTCTTTACAATTGGGGTACTCGAAGCGATGGTACCCTTGCTTCCCGCAGCCAAAGCAACTGCCGGGGAAGTCTCCTTTTCCGACAGCTGTGTTGATGCTGGCTGAAGCTCCGTGTGATCGGGGTGCACCACCGTGCGCTCCACCTCATCCTCCTCCTTGAGCTGAGAAGAAACTGTTCAACTCAGGCCGATGGGCCCGGCTGATGTCGAGTATTTGTTCGACCTCCGTGGCGCGCTTGTCAGCATCTTCCCACATGGTGAACGTCTCAAGCTCGATTTTGCAGTACACGCGGGAGGGGATGCTGCTCAGGTACTTGTCGCGGAGTTCCAGGTCTCCATACCCAGAACAGTCCGCCGGACCCTTGAATAGTGCAGAGAACTCTGCGGCGGTGCATTTTTCGCATACCGATTTGTCAGCACAGAGTTTGGCCAGCTCTACCTGTGCTGCAGCTTCGTTGTCGAGATTGCCAAAGCAGGCCTTGAGTGCGGTGGCAAAGGCCACCTCGTTTGCGAAGGGGGTCATGATTCCTTGGGTACCTAACTGTACCGATACAAGCTGGGCGAAGAAGGGGGTAGCCCAGGTGCGAGTGTCACCGTCAAGGAGGCTCAAAGCAACCTGCACCTTGAGCTCGATGGTAGCCAACAATGTATTGACCAGCCAGTATATGCAGAGTTGGGATAGGAACCAGTCGCACTCAATGACGGTTTTTCCATCGTATTGGAGGGGGAGCAGGAGCCTCAGTGTCTCCTTATCAGGAGGGGACGCTGGGGATGACATTACCAGCGATGAGGGGGATGGAGGACTGCCCGCAGGCGAAGATGGCTGTTGTGACTGTCCACCGGGCGAACTTCGAGAGGAGCGAGTGCTCGAGCAGCCTCGTGGCGGCGACAGCGGTGGAGGCGACGGAGGAAGTCTGGAGGCAGTGTCAGGTCAGAAAGTGTTCTGCCACAGTTCACCAGATACGTCAACAGTATCAGGCTATCACGGTTGTTCGGTTTGAGGGAAGAAAGTGATTGACTAATGACCACTCAAGGACTGATAACAACCAACAACTAAACCACCAATTTCAACAACTTCAAAGGCTTAACGTTGACTTTTATGAGTGTGGGTGACTTGGATGCTTGACTGGCGTGTGCTTGACGTGACTGGCTTATACGTGACTTGACTGGCTTATACGTGGATTGACTGGCTTATACGTGACTTGGCGTGACTTGACTAGCTTGATTCAACAGACTATAGCTCCGCTTGAGCAACAGACTGCTGATAACTGGGCGATACATGACGAGCATGACTCAGACCAGGGTTCCGCTTGAACAAAGGTCGAACTATGACAACAAAGGCAAGCTTCAGATAAGCAAGCACCTTAGAGTCAATCTACAGTTTGTTTTGGGCAAGCTGTATGCCCTCGACACTGCAGATAAGCACCAAACGACTTGGTGTAACTAGACGAGTGATTACGAGCGAGTATGAGTGATTACGAGCAAGTACAAGTGATTACGAGCGATGACGAGCGATGATGTTGACGACGTTGCCAACAGCGATGACAGAGCCAAAGACAGTGAAGACAAGCCTTACTTCAAGCAAGCTTACAGTGTCAATAGCAGCTTACACTGGTTTACACACAGTGGACTGACTTTAGAGGAAGAATATGTCTATTCCCTCAAGTGGGTCAATGTCTGTACTGTACAAAATCTGGGTCCTTATATACTACTCTGGAGGCCTGCTGACTAAGCATTTGATTCTGCCTTATTTGTTCACCACTCATCACTATTTCATAAGCAGATTCTCTCCTCCAATAGCAATTCATGCTCGCTTGGTAAGGCAGGCTTTATGAGCCAATAGCATTTCTCTCTCATTCTGGGTTGAAACTGGGCATTTGCCGGATTGGCCTAGGCTGGGCCTAGGTGTTACTGGATTGGCCTGCACTTGACCTGGATTTTTCTAGGTTTGGCCCACACCTGGCCTAGTTACTGACTGGTTCGGCCTATACCTCACCTGGATTACCACTAGATTGGCTCACAGCTGGCCTAGCTGGGTTCTGCACTGGCCTAGGACCTGATTCTGGGCTTCTGTTCCCATTAGGAAAGTCACCTGATCAAAGTTGCCTAAGATGGCAATTTCCCATGCTCCGCTTTCCTTTTTAGTTGATCAGCTTTCCTTTTTTAGTCTGTTTCTTCTCACAATCTGCTAGACTTTGCCTTGCCTATTTAACTTAGGTGTTTTTTCAGTGGTATGATGTTCAAGCTGTTCACCATGTTCACGTGCCAAACACTTTTGGCCCGTGACAGCGGGGTGACGTACGATAGGGACTGGAGTCGAGGACAAGATTGCTGACGACAAGCTGGCCCAAGTAACCGCTGGACTGTCACTGGGCTCAGGCTTCGGGTTCCTTTCCAACCACGGCCCCAAGGAGGGCTGGGGGATCGCTTGAGGGGTCGCTGTAGGCTGTGCGACTGCCTCAGTTCCTCGAGGGAGATTGGGATCTCCTCGTGCTTGACCTGTACTGGTGACAGGTTGGGGAATGCGGGTGCCTGGGGAGGCGGGTCGGGATGGGACGGGAGTGACATGGTGAGATGTGGATCTCGAAGTGCTGGGCCGCTGGGGTGCTGGACTCGTCTGATTGGCACGTAGTGTCCTTCGTCGGTAGTGATGGACCGCGGAGTGCGATTAGGGCACGGTTGCCAATCACAAATGAAGAACGGAGCTCTGGATCCGTCGCTCTCTGGGTCGTCGTGGGAGACGTCGATCTGCTCCTGGGTGTTGAATGCGTGCTCGAGTCGAGAGCAGTCGAAGAATTCGTCAGCCACGGTGATGGGGGAGGGAAGGGGAGGTGCGCGTGCTACGAAAGGCCGTACTAGCTAGCTTACACCTATGGCGCCCAAGATAATGCTAGGGTTCACGATTCACGTGAGGCCCAGTACTGCTTTTGGCTAGTATGCAGCAGGAATCTAATCCACGTGTCTGTTTAAGGACAAACACTGCCCACTGAAGTGCAAGTGCTGAAAGGTTCGTTCCCTGAGCGGTGGCGATGTATAGTAGGCTATCTACATATCGTAGAGTACGGTAGGGGTGCGCACCACCTAACCTATAGGAAATGAGAGTGTGAGTGGAGTTGTGTGTGAATGCTGGCAGCGAGGGGGAGTTTCGACCTAATGTCGCGACTTGGAGTCAAGCGACAAGGACAAACAAACGTGAAGGCTGGGGGCATTCGACTGGGTCTCACCGAAGCGATGGTGAGCAACGCTCAAACCTAAGGCTAGGGACAAGAAATGTATTAGTTAGTTAAGTAGGAAAAGGAATACATGAGAGGCTTACTGACCTAGGGACAAGAGGTCGAAACTGAGGTCCCTAGGGCAGCAGAGGCTGGCTTATATACAGGGGAAGATAAGGGCAGGCTGTGCACATTGGTCCATGTGCAGCTGGTCTGTGCACAGCATGCTGACACGGCCCCAGGGGCTGGTGAGTCAGAGTGGTTGTGTCAGCGGAGCCCGAGCTGTGCCACGCACTGCCGCCCATCTAATCTGATCATACAGTAGATAAGGGAATGTCCGTTTCAGGTGTATAGTACAGAGGTCACGGGTTCGAGCCTGTGAAAAGGAAAAAATTAAAAAGATGGCTAGACACTGTGTCAACTCGTGACAACAGGTCGCAGGTTCAAGCCTGCAAAAAGGAAAAAATTAAAAAATGGCTAAACACTGTACCAAGTCATGACACCCTTTGTATTCCCTTCTTACCTTACTAACTAATACATTTTCTTGTCCCTAGCCTTACGTTTAAGTGTGCTCGCCATTGCTTTGGTCAACCCAGTCGAACACCCCCAGCCTTAGTGTTTGTTTGCTCCTTGTCGCTTGACCCTAAGTCACAACAATCCAAGTTTATGCATTTAGTGGATGCAAATGGATTATATCAAGCATCATTTTAAGCTTGTATCTTCCTTATGTCGCCATTGGTATTGTGAGCACAAAACAATGCACAGAATTACATGAAAGTCTAATTTCTTTTTTTGGTATAATATTGCACAGATGTCATTTGTGGCAGCGCCACCACCAGTTGGCTGTGTCATAGACAGCAAACTTACCCTCAGGGCAATAAATAGGTATGTCTAACACCCAGTTTAAATCAAAAGTCATGTACTCATAGAATTGATTTTTGAATTTTATCCAGAAGTATACAATTCTTGTTACCTATTCTTGTGCAATACTAACAATGGCCTTAACAGTGGATGCAATCAACCGCATATGTTTTGTTGTTGCTGATCTTCTTGTTTTGTTGCAAACCTGGAGGGCTACATATGGCATCAAAAGGATGGCAAATTTGGCAAACCTGCCAGTTTCAACCACTACACTTTTACTTTGAGATGGTGAGTGAAGTGAGCTATATTAGCACATATTGTGTTCTCAATACACAAATTACCAGGTACTGCTTACTGGTGGTATGCTCCTTTGCAGCATCTAGTTTCTATCAACTAATTGATGGTTATTGCCATTAAAGTGCTATGGCAGTCATCAGCATAGTGTCTTTGATCCTGCTCTGGTTGAACACATTTTCAGTTGCTATCATATTTGTTGATGTGTTTGTAAAGTGACCTCTCAAGTGTGAAGTCTACTAACAGGCTACCTTTACACTGGTTGAAAATCATCCTGATGTCCAGGCTGTTCCTTAATTTGAAGCGAGTATTTATCAGTCAACATGACACCTCAGAAGCTTCAGAGGTACTTTCATCTGTCCGGTTCACTTCTGCAGTGGTAGGACCACTGGGTGCACCTACCATTCATGGGTCCTTTGCCACAGGTCAGTTTAATGAAATGCATCAATTGTATCCTGGCTGATCATTGGCAACAGAGTTAGATCAATCTGTAGAACCAGAGGAATGGGTAGAATGGACAAGCAATGAAATAGGAGAGGAAGCACACCATGTCAGTGATCCATCCAGAGATGGTCTCAGTACATTGTTGCAAGGTACAATCATGTGAGCAAACATTTTTTGTATCAAGCTTTGCATCACAAACTGATGTGAGCTATTTTCAATAGCAGCTAGCGAAGAATGTTCCCCATGTGCCCGAACGTGAAGATAATTGGAACATTTGATGTACTGGACTGATGTGTTGTTTGTGTACATATCATACGCACGGGTGTAACGGCTCACGCACTCTACATATCCTCTTGTTATTGATTGTTATCTCGAAGACTATGGTGGTTCGGCTTGAAGTAGGGTTGACTCACACAGTGTGAGGCCCGCCGTCATCCTGTATCTCTCGCCAAACAGGCGTCAGTCTCAAGTAGTGTAGCTACTGATATGCTCATCACTCGACACGCACATTAATATTCTCTGTGGGGCTGTCAATCGCCTTCGACGACTGGAGTCGCTAAGCCTGGAAGCTAAACAGACCAGCCTCCGTGCCCAGGCTCCTCGTGGCTGCACGCCCAGTGCCGCTCTGCGCTGGCACATGAGCGAAAACCGTTCTATCTATGGAGGTACTTGTCAATAGCGGAAACGGCAAGATGACAGCCAACATTCGTGCAGCACGACTATGACATAGTTTCAGCGTACCCGAGCGCCGGCGCAAGGCACAACGAGCCCGGTGACGGAGATTATGGGCCACTGGCCTATGAATGTAATTACTTGTAGGTCAGGTCTATCCGGAAGAGTACGACAGGGATACTGTACGAAGGACGTCGACAGTACAGTGGGTAGGTCGAGTTAAAATACGTGGGCTGTAGAGTACAGTCAGCGCGCAAGCCCGCTCATAGACCTCTTTTAAAAACATATACCTGGCTGTGGACAAGAGGGATGGCAGGAAAGTGCGCTCTCCCATTCCTGACCAGCCCGCCAGGTTACAAAGCTCATCGAGTCAGCCGACTGCTCGATCAGCAAAGCAGCGGATAAGTCACCATGCGAGCCGCGCGTCCTCACTGTTCAGCACGCGGGTCAAGCAGAGGACGCTGGTAGTGTTGCGGGACGCGTCCGCCCGAGGCGGCAGGTGACGTCTTGCTAGGATCGGACCCAAGTCACACATATCACTGGTCTTGCAAAAACAAGAAATCTTGAATTACGAGAGAACTGTCTGTATGCTTTCTGGTAGCGAAACTCTGAATTCAGCTAGTATTGTCTAACTACAATATCGATGTCAATACCGTCCAGGCAGGCCAATCACTCACAGGATTCAGCCGTGAGCAATGCCTTCAAGGCAGCACATACCCGACATCGCGCCCCAGGGTGCCCAGGCGCCACAAAGATACTACGGATACGCCCGCTATATCTGCAGGGCGTTCAAGACACAGTATGCGTGTTCGCACGTTGACCAGTCGTATCACTGAAGCACATCAAACAGCCCCGGATTTATCTGCGGCGCCATCCCTAGTGAAACACAACACGAAGGACAGGCGTGAGACCGCTCATCCATTGAACTAGGTGGTGTAAATATGCAGCAAAGAATGTACTTTCTCACAAGAAAGCGACGAAGACACCACATCGGTCGTCGCTGAGGTGTGGGTTTTCTTGAGTTTCGATGTTCTGAGCAAGGAGACTCTAGCAGCTGGAGTGGCATTGCCCAACAAGTGCACGACCAAACGGAGCGACTATTACAAGCAGCAGGATCTGTACAACCAGACGACGTGGACTGGGGATGAAGCGCTAACGGTGGCTGCTGCAGCGATGATCGATCAAGGCACCTGCTTTTAGACTTGTATACCTCCCGGTTGTCCGTCAACCTTAGCTCGTCTTTGCTCACAAGACCTCGGGGAACGCCTTACTCGCATCTCAGGCATTCCTTTTGACCTCGACAACTCCTTGCACAGTATGTCGAGACTTGAAGATGCCACTGATGTTTCGCGCAGTGCTGCATATATCCCAGTTTTCGAATCCTAGTCAACTAGCGATGAAGCTCGACAAACATATTGTCGGCCAAAGAGGGCGTTAAACCTTCATAAGCCGCCCATTAAGTAGAGCCATAATTCCCAGCTGACTGCAATGTATACAAGGAGGAATAGCGGACGACGGGCGTCCCGGTCTGGCGGAGGCATGTACGTACTTCTCTTGATCAGCATCTTTGCAAGCCGCTTCGCTACTTGACACTCGTTGTCGTTAAGCAGGCTCAAGAACACTGACAATTTACCACGATCTGAGGGGCTTGTCGAAGAGTTCTTGCTCGCAGCTTCGGTCGTCATGGAACTTCGCCTCATTAGGCGTCGCCCCACCACCTTCAGGATATACATGTATATCTATAAGCCTGCGACAAACGCCCTGATGATATCGAAGAGCGATAAGCCTGAGCTCAATGGAACACCGGTCTCACCATCAGACGCGCGTAGCCCTCCTCCATTCCCTGCTCCAACTGTTATCGGCCTCCCAGATGCCACTGGTCGTCTTCTATCGCGCGCGGTATCGGAGTCACCGTGAAAACGGAGCCCGAGGCCGAGCGTCTTGAAGCACCACCAAAAGGCTAGAAAAGCAGCGGTGACTTCGCTATACCTCCGGATCGACTGTCGCTGTCTTCGAGGCTTCGTGATTCCCTGGTTCTGAAACATGACCACAATGGCAGTTGCTCACCGCGACCTCGTCCCCGGGACCGTGCACCTGGTTGATGTTGCGGGTGAGGTTAACAGCGCGAAGCACGCCGCCGATCGCAAGGACATTGTGCTCGTCCCGCGGCCAAGCGCCGATCCGGAGGACCCCCTCAACTGGTCGCGCAGGCGCAAGTTGCTCGCGATCGGCATGGTGTACTGGTACACGGGAATCGGCATTGGGATCCCCACGACTCTGCACTACAGCGTGCTCGCGGACATCACGCGCGATACCGGCATCACGACGGCCCAGCTTGTTCAGGGCACAGGCCTCACGTTTCTCCTTCTCGGATGGTCGTGCCTCCTCTGGCAGCCCATCGCGCTGACATATGGCCGCCGCGGCGTGTACGTGATCTCTTGCCTCTGCACCGTCCCGATCATGGTATGGACCGCATATACACGCACTGCCGGCGAATGGTTCGCGAATCGCATCCTCCTTGGCATCTTCGGCTCCCCCGTAGAATCTCTCCCCGAGGTATCTGTCCCAGACCTCTTCTTCGCGCACGAGCGCGGGACGCATATGGGGATGTATGCGTTCATCCTCTTCGGGTCGAACTTTGTCGCGCCGCTCATAGCAGGCTGGTTCAACGACGCGTACGGCTGGCGCTGGACGATGATCTTCGGTGCTATAATCGCCGGCGTCTCCGCTGTCATCCTGTTCTTCGGCTTGGAGGACACGATCTACTTCCGCAGTACGGTGGAGGGGCAGGAGCTCGAGATTGCCGATTCGAGACAGAGTGTGGAGGCGAGCCTTGACTCGGACGAGAAAGATGGGAAGGACACCAAGATGGACGCCGTCATCCATAATTCGGTCACCACAGTCCCCTCCTTCCCACCTCCACGCACATACTGGCAAAAGCTGGCGTTGTTTGTCCGCATGCCCGGACGTCCGAGCAACAAGCAGATGTTCACGATGATGTACCGCCCGCTGCTCATCATGCTCTGGTTCCCGTGCACAGACTGGGCAGGCTTTCTGTATGGGATCAACCTTTCGTGGTACAACGTGCTTAACGGCACCGCGTCGCCTGTCCTTTCCGCCCCGCCCTACAACTGGTCAGCGGCGCTCGTCGGATCTGCGTATGTTGCGCCTCTTATTGGCGCCGCTTTCGCTGCCGTCTGGTCAGGCACAATAGCGGACAAAATCACGATTCGCCTTGCACGGCGTAACAAGGGCATCCGTGAGCCAGAGCAGCGTCTCTGGCCACTTTTACTATCCGGGACCATGGCCACCGCAGGTCTCATCACATGGGGCGTCGGTGCATACTACGGCGTGAGCTGGGTCGGCCTGTGTTTCGGACTGGGGATGTTGACGTTCGGTGTCGTCACCGGCGGATCGATCGCGATATCATACAACGTAGACTGTTTCAAGGAATTAGGAGGTGAATCAATGATCAGCGTGATTATCATTCGCAAGTGCGTAGCTCCCTCATCATTGGACTCTGTATTGAAATAGCAGGTACTGACTGACGTCGTCCAGCACGCTTGGATTCGGATTCAGCTATGCCATCACACCTTGGTACACGAACCAGGGCTTGAAGAATTGCTTCATTGCCGCGGGCTTCGTGTCCTTGGCGTGCACGTTCTCGTTCCTGCTGATGATCGTGTTTGGCAAGAATCTACGGCGATTCTCGCGGGAGAAGTACTGGGAATATGTTGCGACGAGTGTGGTCGCAGTAGACCATTGAAAGGCGATCCTCTTGCGGGCCGGGTAGCAAAAACAAGTGAATTGAATAGGTCGGACCGTGGACCAGCCGAACGAGTGGCTGGATGTGGATGATCTTCGTCAAGGCGTGACGATGCCGGGACGGAAGTCGCACCCGTACTTTCATGGGCATATATAGGCGTTTCTTGACGTCACACAGTATGGCATTGTCTGGACAGGTTCTCCCGCCCGCTTTCTCCGTTCTTCATTACCATTGCACCGTTATTGTCTAGACCTCGCACAGCAATAGAACGGCACTTGTTCCTGTCGGGGCGCTGGCTGACTGAAGCGTGTATACCCTCTCTAACCCCACAATTCAGTCCATGTTCTGCTGACTGTTATCAGCGAACGCTGAGCCTAAAGCAGGGCGCCGGCCCCCCTCGTCGTTCGTTCGAACGGTATAGATAGGCAACGATGTGATTGATAGGCCAGGAGACAGACTCTATTAGCTCGTACATAAGACATCATAGTGGTTAGAGGGATATTTAGCGTATAACAGTACAGGATGCAGAAGGATGCAGAGGGATGCGATATCGATGCGACGTGCCAATTTATGGGTTAAGGTGTCAAGTGACAATATATCCAGAGAACCGTCCGTCCAACATAATACAGGTACAAAGCGTACGATCTCCACAGCGCAGGTCTCAGGAGGCTAAACGTGATCAAGCGCTCGCCAGCTTCTCTTGGCGGGCAGAATCTGACGACTCTGAGAGCTTGGTATCGTAGTCCCGATGGTCGCTGCGCACTTCGTCGGCAACACCGGCGACGGCGGCCATGGCACGCTGGCTGAGGTCTTCGCCATCGAAGAGTGCTGCTGTTTCTTCCAAAGTCAAGTTCTTCGTCTCGACAATCATGAAGTAGAGGAAGACGAATTGGAAGGCGAGCCAGCAGCAGTAGAAGATCTACAGAGGTGTCAGTCCTCGGAAGACGATGTACTCGACAGTACAATCTGCTCACATAGTACTTCCACGCAATGTTCTGCAGTGCGATTGGGTTCACGTACTGATTGAAGATGAGTGCTAGTGACACTACGAAGTTAAACACATTAAAGCCTTTCGCACGGATAGCGAAGGGCAAGATTTCGACAGTGTAAGAGACGATTAGTGGCGTGAATGCAAGGCTGCGCAAAGCGAGGACAGTCAGCTGACCTTCGCCCTGCAAATGACTAGCACTTACTCATAGACGGCATAAAATAGGAAAATAAATGCAATAACAGCATGCGCGGCGGCCGGGTTCCCCTTCAGCGCAAACTCCGCAGAACAAACGGTTTGCAAGCTGAAGAAGATCACCATACCGCCTGCCGAAGTCAGGAATAGAGCGCGGCGGCCGGCACGGTCCACGAGGAAGGAGGCAAATACAGCCCAAAACAGGTTCCAGATGGCGAGAATACTGTTGACATATGAGCACACATCGCAGCGGCGTTAGAGGTGGGTAAATAGCTGACCCAGTAATGAGCAGCTGCACGGTTGGGCTGGTAATGCCGATGGTATCGAACACCTTGTTCAGGTAGAACGAGACCAGTCCATTGCCCGACCATTGTGAGAACCACGCGATGGCGACAATGATAACGATACGTTTCCTGTTGCCCGGTGTTGATACCAAAGATTTCCAGCCAACGTTGTTGGAATCTGAATACTATGGTCAGGTGCGAAATATCTGGCTGCTCTAAATAATCTCACGCTGACGATCGGAGTCGATCGCTGCCTTGATCTCCTCGAACTCGTATTGTACGAGTGGGTCTTGATCGTCGCCATCTGCATGGTAGTAGGCAAGGGTCTTCAGAGCCTCTGCATCCTTGCCCTTCGAGATGAGCCAACGGGGGCTTTCGGGGGCAAAGAGAACCAGGCAGAACTGAAAGGCGGACGGGAGCCCTTGCAGAAGAGAAGGTATCCGCCAAGACCACGTGCTGGCAATATTTGACGTTCCGAAGGTAGTCCAGGAAGCACTAAGCAGATCGTCGGCCGTCAAAATGTGGATGCAAGGTTCCACTGAGAGAGATACTCACATGATGTTACCCGAATACCACAATGAATTGTATAGAGAAGTCAGCTGGGCACGGTAGGATGGATAAGCCACCTCCGTGACCAACATTGGTGCCGCATTAGCTGACATTCGTATTCAGCCTTGTAGCATAACTAGAGACATACGGAACCCCGACTTACCGGCGAAGGTCAGACCGAAGCCGATGCAGAACCTTGCTCACAAATTCAGACAGAGTCCGCACTAGACGCGTGCCAGCTTACCTTGCCCCAATGAACATGCTCAGATTGTATGACGCTGTCTGAACAGCGACCCCAACCAACATGATCGTCGCGCCAACCCAGATAGCCCTCCGACGGCCAATGCCGTCAGAAACATAGGGTGCGAACGGATATCCCGCGAGGGAACCAATGTTCTATGTAGATATGAGGTTTTTGCGCAATGTAGCAAGGGCTTGGAGCTCACTTGGATCGCGTTAAGCAGACCTAACTTTCCTCCCGCCGGATGACCAAAGTATGTTTCCCACTGGTCGAGCGATTGGAAACTATTCATGAGACTATTGTCGAAACCATTCGTGGAGGACGTGATAATACTGGACGTGAGGGACTAATCTCAGTCACCACCCGCAGATTGACCTGTGCACACTCACAGGAGGAGGATCCAGAAGTGGAGGTAAATGAGGCTGACGAAGTGCATCGTGTCAGCACACCGACATGCGGGACGACGTAGGCAATGAGCATACCGCTTGTTGTTGTACCACTTCCTGTTAGGATCGACAAGGTGCGCATAGTGTGCGTCGCTGCCGGTAGTCGCTACGGCGCCGCCAGCCATTATGTACGAGGAGTTGTGAAGATATTAGTGAGCGTGCTGCAAGAAACCGACGGAAGAAAAGAGCGTGTAGGTTTTATAGATCCCAATAGAATGCTTTCGGGCGATGTCCCTGGCGTGCGTCCCGGAGGCAGTCAGGTCACACCGCAAGTCCAGGCGCCCGAGTAGACACGCGAATGGATCTTCTCTCGCGTAATTTCCCCGCGCACCCTCCGGCCTCCACTTTCCCTCGGCTCGTCATTGGCCTTCAGTAGATTGTACGCTCCGAGTGATGGTACCCAGGCACGCAGGAGCATGTGCCCCATCAACACTGAGTGTACCAGTTTGTCGTACCCAAGCCGTATCGCACGCCATGGGCGTCGGTACGCTACCCGCGAGCAAAGCGGCGATCTTGGCCTTCTTTAGTAATGACTATACCGCATTTATTCATTTTCATCGACTTCACATCCGAACGCCAGCCTGGGGTTCATCTAGATGTGAAAACGAGCAGGCCGAGAGCAGTGCTGAAAAGGCATTGTGCATGTTCCGCCTGTCTCGCGACAGTGATTGCTCCGTCAGCAATTGACGCGCCTAGGATAAATTGCTTCTCCGAAGGCTGGCCTAGCCTACCCAGGGTATGAGACTGCTGTATTCCCCGCGTCCGAATCCGCTGGCATGAACCCATTGTAATGTCGAGCAGGCTCCGACGATACAGCACTCACTCGTGTATATAGAAAGTGGCAGTTTACCTAACATGAATGCGATCTGGAGAACAACGACGCCGTGGGTGCGGGGATGTGGGGTTGCCGGTGCGGCACCCCACACCAAACACCCAAGATAAGATCTTGCGCGTGGGGGGACCAGTGCTCCTATGTTTCTCCGATGTTGCAGCGACAATCACTGGTTTGCAAGACCCTGCTTTAAGCAAGCGAGTCTGTACGGGTTTCACGGACCTGAATTGATGCATCGGGCCCCATTTCTACCTCGGTTGATATTTTCTGTACGTTTGAACATTTTTCAGACGAGCTAGCTCAGACATTAGAATAACTCACAGCTAACGATGTATTGACATTTTGGTCCGAGGGGGTACTCTTTCTCTAGCGGGACTGGTCATATTGTCCGCAGTATATTACGCATGCTAATAAACTGCCAATACATCGGCGGAACTTTAGTGATGAAAGAAATCTCTCATCTATATTTCCACGCCTCGTCGGCCGAAGAGGATTGTGATTCAGAGCATCCTGACCACAGAGCATGTCAAAGACTGAAGGTTGAACCTCAACTCAAAATGGCGGTGCAGGTGGCTACGTCGCCTATCAAAACCAGTCGCTCCCGATACCACCGGCCGTTAAGACGAGCACTCCTTACACACTGTGGTGGTGTTAAATTAGCCACTGCCCGACTTTTGTGCCCCATTATCACCGTAAGTTTGAACTTCTCCTGAGTAACTTTTAACGAACTAAATTAGAGGACTCCAATGTTCTTGTCCACAAATAGATGCTATATACCGGCGAAACATTTCATCACTTTATGTAGCACGAAGACAATATGACAATGGCGTCGACAGTCCGAATATTTTGTTAGTAAGCGACGAGAAACAACATAGTACATGCACAGCAAATACGATAGCAGCCTCCAGGTGATAATATGAGTGAGCGAGCAGTGGTCAGAGCATGGTGGTAATACAAGGGCATACATGTATATACGGAGATACGAAGCGAGTGAATGGGTTTGCAAGCATGTGGAGAAACTACCCCTCTGAGATGCCTTCTGAGGTGCCTGAGGGTCGCCGCTGCCCCGCGCGCATGTTCTCTAGAACATGACTAGGGCTTATGGGATCGGGGGTGCCAGGACGATCGGCAGGGCTTGTAACAGTGGGTTCAACAACTGAAAGACGCGTCCGGCGACCGAATGCGACGCCCCAGCTAGTGGCAAGACTAGCCAGCCTGCTGCTCGCAGTGACCGCAGAGCCTGGAGACCCACCTGCACTGCCGCCGGAGAATGTGTTCGTCGTGGACACGATAGCGGACGAATTCCGCGGCGTAACATGGTACGAGGTCGTGCGACGTCGATTCATGAGACTCGACATACCTTCCGTCGGTGATTCTTCTGGCGAGGGAAGACTCGACTCCTGCGGCAGGTCGGCAAAGCCGATGGACGGCGACACAGTCGCAACCGCCTGTTCTGAGATAGCTGTCGTTGCGACCGCCTTCGCAATACCTGGTGCACCGCCGAACGGTATTCGGCCGCCAGAAAATTTAGATGACGTAGACGCCCTGGACGCGCGCGAGCCTGGCCGCAAATACGACGGGCCATGCGGCGTCTGTGCCTGGGACACCGATCCGGTATGTGTCGGCGAAGGCGGCGGACGCGGTGACGCAGCCGGAGACGGCGTTTTGGGCCGTGATGCTGGAATGAACTCGAGCGACATCTCGGGCGGTGGCGCCTGAGCGAGCAAGCGAGACAACGACGACGGTCCTGCGGTCGGCGAAGAGTTGGCACGGGTGCGGACCGGAAACAGACGTGACGTCGGCGGACGAGTTGCGCTAAACGCATCTTCGACCTCGTTCTCGGGAGGCCCAGGTGGCAAGGTACCAGGCTCCTGGAGCGGCGGGCTGGGAATCGGCGGGCTGGTCGATTCCTTAATTTCTGATGGCTTCCTCCCGGATTCCCGCCGCTTCGTTGGATAGCCAGGTTGTGTCCAGTCCTCTACCTCTAACATGTAGTACTTCACGCCGTCCCCTAGGCCGTACGGGTTTGTATCTGGATCCTATAGTCAGCCAAGGTCAGCTGCTGTTGCGTGAGCTGCTTGGCTATGCCGTGAGGAATACGTACTCTATGATCTACGACGCGCTCTGTCATCGAAGTGATCCTGGCCACAATCCATTCTCGCGTCTTTAGTTGCTCCGCGAGTTGCCCCGTAGCCTGTAAGAAGTAATGCGGGAAAGAAACTACAATTATAGAAGCGAAGGAGAAACTTCGGGTATCAGTGCCTGGCCCCACCTCAAGCCTCAGACCTGAACGCACCGTTGAACGCCGCCCACGGCTTCGACACCGAGTTGCGAGTTGGTAGGAAGAGCGCCAGGTCACCCTTGGTAAAGTTCCTGAAAGAGATCTTCCCCTTCGACCGCTCGCGATACTCCTTGCATTGTTTCTGCCACTTTCGTATCGTCGATCCAGCTTTGTTTATAGCCTCGATGAAATGATCGTGGTCGAACGCGCGCAATGCGTCGAGGGCAGCGGCTGGATCGGATGGATCGATGGGAAGGGGCTCACCGAACTGGTTGACAATGCCGTGTCTTCCGTTACTCAAGATCGAGTCTGTCATGGTTGCGTGATTCGCCGCTTTAGTCCCTGGATGGGCGGACATAGCTTGAGCCGCCATGAGAGCCTTGACGTGTGAGTCTCGGAACGCGAGAGCGACATCCAAAATCTGAGCTACCAGCCTGTCGCTGTTATCCAAGCGATGTTCATAGTCGGCCTGGGACACCCTGCCTTGCCGTAAGTCATCTCGGAGCACGCGCTCGAGATGCTGCGCCTCGCGAAGCAGGTGCTCCACTCGTTGCACTTCCTCTCGCGACCCGACAGTGTCCGAGAGCGCCATGTCAGCCTGTGCACGCGCGTCCTTCAGTTGACGTTCCGTATCCTCTAGAGCGGCCTTTAGCTCGGAGAACTGGTGCTCCAGCACAGCACGATCCCCGTCAGCCTCAGCGATATGATCCCGTATGACTCGGTCGTGCTCCGTTGCCTGTGCACGCAACAGCCGCTCCTTCTCCTTGCCAGACTCCATCAGAGCGCGCTTTACATCTTCGCTCTCAGTGCGCGCCTCCTTGATTTGCATCTCCAGGTCTTCACCCCGTGCGCGTGCCGCTTCTAGCCGCGCGAAGGTTAGCGCCTGTTCCTCTAGTAGGGCGGCAACCTTGTCCGCATTGTGTTTCTCGATTGCCTTGACGTGCTTGAACTCCGCGTGCACCTGTGCAAGCTCCTGGCGGAGGATCTCCGCGGCCTTTGTCTGTTCTGTCGCCTCCGCGAGTGCACGAGTCAGCTGGTCCCGGTGCCCATCAGCTTGCGACGACAGGTCGGTATTCCGGTCCTCCAATATGCGCCTAGAAGTGGATTCGCTCTCGAGTTGGGCCTTGGCAGAATGTAACTCCCGCTCCAGTTGTTCATGGGCAACCTGCTCCGCTTCCAGTGCAGCCTTAAGCTGCGCGACCATCTCTTCATGGGCACTACGCTCTCTCTGGTAGGCTGCCTCACTGTCCGCATGTGCTTGCCGCAATTCTTGCACTTGCAGCTCTAGCTCAATGTCATCTTCAGTGGCTGAAACACAGCAGTGAACATTTGTCAGAATGCGTCAGACCGGATAAGATTTGGATAGCGCGTGCAACACTTACGTCGCCGCCGATGACTCGTTAGGCGCGAGGCCGATAGCACTAGGCACAAGAAGGTGAGCCGTGCCATCCCTGATTGTCTAGGCGCGTAACAACTTACGAGAGCGCTCTGCAATCCGGTCGAAGCCCGACTCTAGATTGTCCATCTTACCTATCAACCTCTCTAACCCTGTGCGCGCCTCGCGCACAGAGTTCAGCGCTGCCTCATCTTGTCGATCATGGGCGAAGTGCTCGAGGTCATCTAGGACCCTCTGGAGGGCTATCAATGAGAGGGCGCTGAGCAAAATTTGAGGAAGAGAGCGAGCGGCGGGGTACGGACCATCGATATCGGCGCGCTCCAGCGTGTATGCTGACTCGGGAGAGCCCGAGGGCGAGAAGTCGATGCTAGGCACCGCGTCGTCCATGCCGGGAGTCGTGAAAGGAAGCAGCCCGTTCACCTCTCCCCGATACACCTGCCGTCGCTTCCGTTCACCAGCTCTGAAACCGTCGAATTAGCTCCAAGCTCCATAAGAGCATGTGGTAGCAGAGGCGCACGAGAGCTTTGCCATCACCTCTAATATACTTTGTGTCCGCTGGTAGAAAAAGCGTGCTATGCAGAGCGTTCACATTCCGCCGATGAGTTACATATAAGGGACTTACCGAACTCCTTACGTCTGACAATCTCCACAACAGTCGACCCATATGCATACAGCATGCTATGCAACCGCTGAATATGTGAGAAACTGGTCTTTGCCTTCAGCCCGCTTTGCAGGGTGCTCATGGCAGGCGGCAGCTCGGTCAGGTCATTGTTCAACAGACTGATCCGCCGCAGTGCGTTCACATGATGGTCGGTATATGAGTTCTGTAGTAGTCACAGAGGCCTTCCTGGTGAATGAGGACACAACATGTGGTTAGGGCGATGAGACGTACTTTGAGCTCGGTGATGTACTGCAGTTCGGTGCGCATATCGAGGTCAGACTGGCGGAGCTCTGTACATCCATCTTATTCTCATCCTGGCGAGTTAAGAAACCAATTAGGCGGCGTACCTTGCAGCAATTTCTCCGTGGATGACGTAGGTTCTAGAGGCTCGGATGAGTTTCCAGCGCAGCATTAGAGTCAGCGTATTCTTACTCTCTGCAGCTCTTTCAAGGGTAACAACATTGTCCAGAACTCCTTGTGACCGCTTAACGCTTCCGGCCGCATCCTCTAGTAGACTGTCGGACATCGTAAGCTGGTTGATCGAACAGAGAGAGATGACGGTTCCACCTCTGGTCATTCACCCGAATGCGCACGTCCTCCGCACCCTTATTCAACCTCGACATCATCACATGAACCTGCTCGCACTTGGCTTGCAGCTCCTCTGTCCCGCGCTCATGAGATACGGATGAGAACCCACGTTCGCAGCGCTCACCGTGTGTCTTCACACAACTCTCTGCCACTTGCTGCATCTTGAATCGGCTCACATAGTCCCCCAACGTCCGTGCTCGCTCACCCGCGTCCTGCGCGCGTCGTACCTTCTCGCTGAGGAATTCCCTGTGTACCGGGACGCGCTCCACGATCTCCAGGTCCGCGCTGACTCCTGCGAGCAAGACCGCCTGCTTATCCAGCTCCCGGCTAGCAATTGATGCTATGCCCTCGAATACATCAGATATCGCCAAGACGTGAAGATCGAGGGAACTAGATGCTATGCGGAGAGCCTCCTGCTGGTATCGCATCGACGTTGCCAAGCGTTGTATGTGCTCATAATGCGTCTCAGCGGTATGCAAATAGGAACTCGCCAGTTGTGATGGGCGGAATGGTGGTGTGGAGGTAATAGTGTCTGCACAAAGATGAGCAAGTCCTGCAGACTACCTGAACACAAGATGCGCACCTTCGATAGGGGGTTGCAATGGGGGTTCTACCCGCAATTCGCCCAATACCTGAAGGACATCTAGGTCTAGATAGCGCTTGTTGAATACATAGATGGTCTACAAGGACGAACGTAAGCATGCGAACATAGGGACGGCTGAGGACGCACCTGATCCTGGACTCCAGCGAGGTCGCGGATGCTGTCCTTGTGAAGGCGACGTCCGTCCGAAAGGTACGCTAGTACGTCATCTTGCGGTACACCGATCTTTTCTTCTAGAAATGACTCCAAGTGGTTTGCGCTAAAACAGGTTGTAGATTGGTTTGATGCAGGTCTGACCGAATACGCACCTCTCGAGGTCCCAGAGCGTAATGTCGAGCTATCAGCATATGAGATGTTGCACAATATTTCCAATGCGTTCCGTAGCGCACCTGGATGATTTCCCCATCTTCCGCACGGCATATCTGTATCATGGCGGTCGGTGGGAGAACACAGTTGAATGTCAGGCCCGACGCCTGTTCGCAAGCAGCAACCGCACCCTGGCGGCGCCCAGCCGATCGGGCAATATCACGTGGTTGAACCCATTTCTCTGTTCTCAAGGTGAGCCAGCAAGTCTCTACTTCACAGTGGGGCAGTAGGATAACTGGTCCGCTCAGCTATAAATCACAGCTACTTTCAGTCAACCTCTGGTTCATAACGCAGCATGAACGCAATCAATTAGATGCGATTGTAAGGTAGATGCACCACTAGCGCCGACGGCATCCTATTATGGAGGCATTCCTTCTTGAAACGGCAAGCCAGTGAGCGCCACACGCTTTAACTAGTAGCCCTGCCATTGCCTAAACTTGTCTCCTATTTTGATAAATTTTAGCTATTGAGCATTGCTCAAATTACCAGTATAGCTGAGAGCGGGAGATGTGCATCCGGTCGTCATGAAGTCAGCATAGGTCCAATTATTCAACGTTTTTCAATGTGATTCAGACCTAGTTTCACTGTCGTGGGTCTACCAGACATGCACCTGGAACACTTAGACAGCTTGCTGATAGAATGATCATCGTATTCAGTAATGTTGCCGTCGTTGAATTCGATGAAAGCCTGACGCCACATCGGCGCTTAAGGGGTACCTTTTTGCTCATTGCTCACTCGCTGTGCGCCAGCACTGGATGCCTTCACGCAGGATCTGGACGATGCAAACCGTACTCTGAAACAGACCCGTTATGTCGGTCCATGCCGTCTGGCTGAAGACAAGCGCCCAGAGGGCGGCTGTTACCAGACGCTACCAACAGGTTACCAACAAGTGACTAACCAGGGTGGACATGGATGAGGTTAGCAGAATGATCGTGTGTGAGCCAGCGAGAAGAGAGCGGTGCCTGAAAATAACGTCTGCAATGCTCGGAGGGGTCCCTCCGCCAGATGCAAACAATCCAGACTCTTCGGCGTCTAACAACACGGCAACGGTCATTATTTTCGAGGTCAGTCAGATCAGCCGCGTTGCCGACAAGATTTAGAGCTCGATTATATTCTAATCGTGTCCAGACCCCTGCGGGAAGACATCCACTTCGCAAATACTTATGATGTTTGCACATTCAGGTGTTCAAGGCGACCCTGACTACGGTGATTCACCTCCCGACCTCTCTTGGCAGTCTGCACGGTTATTTTTGACGTCGACATTCCCTCATCGGTTGATCAGTAGCAGGATACAACTCTGCTTGCTTCTCAAGAGCTCCTTTCATTCCAGCCGCGTGGATTCATGTAGCTTATCGTGAGCTCACGACGTCCATCAGCACGTCCTACCGGTCGGTGCAGCAAACTCCCGGTGATTCCCTATGCCCCCGCGGCCACTCGACCCGTCACACTCGGCGCAGAGCGCACGAACTTACTAGCATGTAACAAATATACCATCGTCAAGAGTGCACGGTCCGATCTCGTCGCACCTATCACGCCTCTTTCTGCGAAGCGCCACTAAAATTGTCTCCCCCTGGGTTCCTTTCAAGCTCCCCCATGTCTGTTGCACCTCCTGACACGGCACCCTCCCGGCAGTTCGAACCACAACACCCCGCATCGCTTCTCTACTTCCTTTTCCGAAGTCCCCCGCCTGGCGCCTGATAGCAGCGACTCAGAACACTGCTTTCCCCGGAGATGCGCTGCGCTGCTCGACACGCTGGAGGATCACGGCCACGGCCCGTCAACCCTATGCGGCGTGCTTCTGTTACGCAGAAACGCCCTGGCGCCCCGGTGCCCGTGCCCGTGACTGAATTGCTCGCTATCTACGACAGCGACAGGTCCTGCAGGCTCAGCACGGACGTGCGATGCTTGCGGGTCTTCTCGCCCGCTTCTGTTACATGTACAGCCTTGTATAGCGACGACCTTCCGTGCGTCGACACGAGATCGACCGGCCCTCGCCTGACCCCTGTCCGCTCAGACAGTATCAGGCGAGGCCTCCGCCCATTCTATCCGGTGCGGTCCACGAGACTGCGTATCTTCACTATCTGCACCCACTTCACGCCCGGGTCCAGGTATTTCTCGAGAACGCCCAACTCAATCAGACACCTGCACTCATCTTCCTGCGATCATCATGTGTCTATCTGGATTTTGCGCCCACCCACCTCCCTCCCCGACTTGCTGTTTATGATCGAGCAGACGCACCCCTTTCTCTCACCGCGCATCTGCACGTACATACAGAGCCTACTTACTGCTTCCAATTCCAGGATACAGTCTCGCGCTCGGAACTCGGCGCGTCTATGGTCTGTGTGTCTGAAGCTTATTTCCTGGCGGACCAATGCCGGTCACCATTGTCAGATTTGGCACATCCTTCCGGCAACTTATCGCTATTCGCTAGCCGGAGGCCCAGCCCGCCGTACGACAGTAGCCAATCACAACCGGAGCCCCTAGAGTCTCGGGCTGCCATTGGGCAAGTCACATCAGCGTCTGCGCCTCGACGGCGAATGGCGGTGGAAAGGCTCTTGTGAAGCCCGCGCTCGGGGGTTGTTGGATGCGACACCAATATGGGTCGTGTGTCCGCCGCCATCGGACTGATCGCTCGATAAATAGTGGCTAGAACGAGCGATGTGCTGGGACGGGCATGGATTGTTCCACGCTTTTGGCTTGTGCCCAAAATACCATCTGCACGCGATTGGTTTTCGGGAAAGGTGCATTCAGGGGTGGTGCGTGACGGCAAAAGGCGCACTTTTCCTGTACTTACTGGCATCTGTGCGTCGTATTTGTGGTTTCAAAGTATATTATTACTCTATGAGTTCATTTCGCTGTATATATGCTTCGGCGCCATTTACCCTTTGTGATCGGCTTCGATATCTAATGCAGACAGCGCTTCGGTTCAAAGATTGCGCCTGGCAAGGAGCGCTGCGTGATTGAGACACAAAACACTAGGAAGTGTGAATATATGGAAGTCGGCGCATTACCGTGTTCAACGGACTTTTTGGTCTCACGCTCGGTTAGCGACGGTGATAGTGGTTCACTGAAGCGGTGTCTGAAAGTTGCTGTGTCTTGATCAACCTGCCACATATAAACAAGCGCTGGCAGCGAAGGTGGAGTGCGAATGGAATCGACAGGACCTCCTCCGATCCTGGTCGAGTCAGACCGCTTATGTTTGAGTCGGCCGAATTAGATGCTCAAACAAGGGTATAATGAGGGGCGTCCCTCATTGTGATGCTCTATGCGAGCTGCGAGGCCGCTTGGCGACGAGCGTGGACATGAAACGGCGGGATGAACACAACGCAAAGGGCAACGAGGCGGGCGGCGTACGTACAGTCTCACTCACAGCGGCTCGGGGCCTAGAACCATGGCGCCGCACTGGCGAATTTGTCGACCCCGGAACAATTCGAAGGCTTCGGGGCCCAGACGGTCTCGACCGCCACCTTCCCAAAGCGCGCCACTACGCCCGCGTGCGATCAGGAGCGAATGGTGGCCACATCGAAGCCGCGCCCCCGATTCCGGCCGCTCCGGTGCCAATCAGCCGCCTGGCTGCAGCTGAGGGCGGTGTCGAGGCCCGCGGGTATCAGCGATTCATTGCGATCAGGATAAACGAGCGTAACACGACCCCCCATCGAGTGTTTCCGCACACCCGAGCGGCCGCACGTCGCAAATTTTCATTGGCGGGCAGCTGTCTGCTCGGGCTGGTTTGTCTTGGAAGAAACCGGCGCCTGGTTCGCCGTGGGCGGCACCCTCGATCTGATGCTGCGGGACGAAGACGAAATGGGGTTGGCAGTGAGTTCGCGCGCGCGAGTCGCGATACGTGAATTGGTGAGCTCGCGGGGAGTCGCACATCGGGACGAGAGGATGGAGAAGCACGGCGAGTGACCACGCCTGCAGGCTACGGGCGCACGGGTCCCCATGGATCACGAAGGCGTTATCGATGCGGGCCATCGCCGGAATCGTCGAGTGGGATTGGCTGGAGCCTCGAGTTGGCCTCGAGGCCAAACTCCGAAAGGACCACTATTGGCCGGCAATGCCGGGATTATCGGGATAAGGAGCGGAGAGCGAAAACAGGGGGTTTCATTGGCGGAGGGCGGAAAAAAAAGAGACAGCGGAGGTTGAATGTGGCGTCTGGACGTCATGGGGATGAGAGAAGGGCGTTATGTCATATGGGCTACCGGGGCGGCCACTGCGCTCGTCCTCGAATAATCCTCCGGCGCCTTTCACCGCCCCGCTATAAATCTCCCTCCTGGTTGCCATGATTCCCCGATAGGAACCGCCTCCAAATCCCTCTTATATTCGTCCTCCCCGGTGTGTTTCAACCCCCATCCAACCCCGCCCTCCACCTAACGCCCCCCTTGACGAACTCACCTCCGCCCACGATTCCCTCTTCCGCTATGCCCGGCCTGGTCAGCGATGCCACTCGCATCTGGGAGCTGAACATCTATTGGGCTCTGCACTCCCAATGCGGGATTTGGGATCCAAAGGGCAAGGGCGTTGACATCTGGGAATGCATCCGTCCCCGTGCGTACTGCGATCCTCCGAGTATCGTCTTTTCATCTGACGCGATCTTCTTGCAGATAATTCAACGTCAGGCACACAAGTATGTTCCAGCAGCACTCTCCTCTGTAGCCTATGTCTCATCGTGTCTTTTTGCCCACAGCCACCAAATAGCACGTACTGGCGCTATATCACTCGCCGATAGCCACACTGGTGCTCCCGGTGTGGGCTTGCAGGTCATCCACGTCCCCCTGGTTAAACAACTGGATCCATTGTCCTTGGACGCATTGCTATGCCTTCCTCGACAATCGTCCACTCATGCCCTCGTTGCGCCACCGACGTCCCTCGCGACACCCATACACAATTCCTAGTCGCGCCCATCCGCTGTCGCGCCGCGGCGGCGCTCAATAAATACACGCTGGGCGCCGAGCCTTCCTCCAGTGTACACCCGGCGCTATACAAGCGCTGGCGCTGGGCGAGCTGTTTAATCAATCAGTCTCCACTGGAGGTTTGATGCCATGCAAGCCATAGCAACCCTTTTTTCTGCCTTCCCTAATTCTCGCCCCTTTCACCGCCTAGTCTTTGGATTTATTTGCGCGTTTCTGCATCATCCCGTGATATCGTGCTTATCTGCCTTTTTGGTTCGTCTTATGTATTTGGGCTCCCCTCTCTACCCCTACCCCACTCGCTCCCTTGGCAGACGATCACGTCCTCTGTCGGCCGGAGCATAGCGATAGTAATGTGCTAGTGTGTATATCACCCGCTCTCGTGTGTTCTCACTGTTACTGTTTTACTTACCACTAGCATTGCCTGCATTCGTAGTATACAATCGGTCCTAGTAGCGTAGCCTACATCATCACCCACGGTCGCAATAGCATCTGCATTCTGTTCTCGCACTCACCCTCCGTCTGACTGCATTCCCGCATTCTCCTCGCTTGATCAGCTCATCTGCCATGAATGGCATCTATTTTGCCCTCGCAGCGCCGTGCTTATCGCCCCCCTGCTTCTAGCCCGCGCCAAACCGGCGGCTTCCCCAACCCCAATCCCTGGCACAACGTCATGTCCCCCCGTGCGTCAGCCGACCACCAGGACGTATGGTCGGTTGTGGGGATTGTGTTCGCAAACCCGTGAGCGCGGAGCATATAGCATACGACCCACGGTGCGACCTGACGCCATGCCGTCACGTCTCGAGGACCCGCGCGGGGTGCGTACAGTGGACATGATCGAGTTTTCGAGCGGCCGAATCGCCGGAGGCTGTTGAAGCACGGCACGCGTCGTCGGACGCGCAAGGCTGGCTGGTGGCCTGACGCGCGTCCACCGCCCACCCCGCGTCCCGCGCGCGCTGCGGGGCAGCCGCGGCCCAGGGGATCGGCGACGCCGGGGCAGATCGCAAGGATGCGTCTGCCGCCCGGCGTCCCACAGCCCGCGACTCCACCGTGGGGTGCCCCGTCCGCCTTCTGGCTTCTCTGGCTTCTCGCAGGTGCTTCGCGTTCGTCACCTACAGCCGTCGCGCCGTCCGGCCGGGCTCGCGGGGGCAGGAGGCTGTTGTCGCCAACGATTACGATTCGCACCCCCGAATGCTGGGCCCCACAGACAGCACCGCAACGCGCGCGTCTCGCCGCGAACGCGGCGTGCTATACGAGGCAGGAACGGGGCCCCAGAACGTCAGAGCCAGGACGCTAGTCTTGTGGGCGCTCTCCGCTCTAGGGGCTGCTGCTGGCTGCAGTGCTGATGGGGATACGCGCGCGCCCTGATGCTGTTTCTGGGGGACGAAGGCGTGCGATGCTGACCAGAGCGCAGGCAGGTGCGATATCATACGACCATTGATGCATGGATGCGCTGTGCAGGCTGAGTGCGAGCGCGGACGTGCGTGGGGTCATGAATGCCACCGGGCCCGGCGATCAGAGCGGGCCTGAAGCACGCAGAATATGAAGCGGGGAACCTAGAAAAGGTGCGAATGCTCGACGAGGTTCTGCGGGCGTTGCGTAAGGATGCTGAGCTCATGCTGTGATCTCTGCAGCGTGCTGGGAGGATCTGGACCCTGGGCACTGCACAGAGCCCGACTGCCCGACTGCGACCTGATCCCAGCTGCGCGGGCGGTCGGCGCGCCGATGGTACGGAGGTGAAATCTTCAACGGCCGGGAGCGGACACAGCACCGTGTGTGGACGCGTGACAGAACGGCGTGATGCCTCCATCATGACAGCCTTGGATGTTCCCTGCTTACAAGACGCCCACCTGATATACCCGGGGTGCTGGTGCACAATCGCAAAAGAGTGTTGTGGACACGCTGCATTTCGCCAAGGCTGACCGAAAATCAGAGATGATCCCGTGAACTCGGGGAGAGGGGTGGACGCTGCGCTGGGAAGCACTTACGAGACGACTGCGACGGCGGACCCAGAGCATCTATTTGTCACAGAGCAAATAGGGTCAGCGCCAATCCGCTGCTAGCGTGGTCCTAGGCATCACCCTCGGCGCCAGTGGACACGGAGATTAGGGATGTCTGACTGAGATGTTCAGATCCAGCGCAGGGGGGGATGCCAACGAGCGAGGCGCGCAGCAGGCCGTAATCACCCAGTCTCGCCAGAGGCATCGGCGTCGGAGTCAGCGAGCATGGGACGCGGGGGGGGGGGGGCGTGCGGCGATGTTTGTCAGGGTGAGCGTCGCAGAACGTCTGCAGCTCGGAAATGAACTCGCGCCTGCTGCCCGTTGGGTCTCACATCCCCGAAGATATATCTGAGCGGACAAGATTGGAGACCAACTCCCGCGTTTGAGGCCGATCGTGATCGAGTGCAGGACGCCGTCCGTCCTGTCGTCTGTGATGCTCGATCACATGGGGGCCTCGGAGGCATTTGGATGCCATCATGTGACAGTATCATGTACGTAGGGCCGCCTCGCTGCAATCAAGATCAACGTCGTGTGGCATTGCCCTGTCCGCTGCGGGCAATGAACTGGCGCCATCGAGACGGCTCCCACCAGGCGGACGCGGATCAGCACTTGGGTCTCGCGGAAAGCATATCCCGCTCCGAGGGCCCAAATCCACGATCCTCGATGTGAAGGGCTCGTAGAATTTGAGGAAGAGAAGTGTACGGCGGATGCGCATGATTGGCTGGGTGAGCGTGTTCTCTGATAAATTGCGCTTCGCGCCAGCGTGTGCGTCCATTGAAGTTGTGCGATCGCTATCATGTGAGATAGAACCGTGGGCGTGGACAGCAAGACGAATATCTACGCGGGGGGAACGGATGCTGGTCTGCCCAGTCTCGATAGCGCCCCACACATACACGTGGGAGCGGAGCAGGCGCGAACTGCCATGACGTAGGCTATGTACTTCTTCTACATAGCTCCCGTAACGACGGCTAGGTCTGAGTAAACAATCGTCAGGCAGTGTGACTCCAGGCAGTGCGACAGGGAGGGGAGATACAACCGGACCTCATCTAAGCGACACACATACATAATTGACTGGCACGTAGCGGTGTAGATGAATATTTAGGTGCTTTGGCATCTGTACATGCTCGGCATTCGCGCCGTTTGGCTTTAACATTCGTATAGTCCTGCGGCGCAGTAAGCCCCCTAGTAGCGAGGGTCAAGGACATAAATGCAGGTCGCTGGACTCTAATACGTGGGATGCTGGTGACACTTTGACAGACAAGACGGGCGTTGAGACCGTACGGGAGTGACACCGCGCCCGAGACTTCAGAAAACAGACTGCGGGTCGGCTGAACCCGTCGCTTCCGTTGCTTCCAGCCACCCCGCAACGCTGGAACTAGCGTGGGGAAGTTCTTTGGGACGGGAGAAGGCGCACAAAGCTGAGGATTGGCGGATGTCGTGCCTGAAGGATGGCTTTGTGGAGGTTGAAACCATGCCGCCGCGAGTTGGGCATGGGGCGAGTTGGAAGGGCTAGCAGGGGCACGCATCGCGTGCCGCTGATCAGGCCGAGACGATCGCGGGTGCGCACATTTTGCCACTTGCCAGCTTGCCAGCTATCCGGCTCAGAACTCCAGCATGCGCGCGACGGCCTGCATCTGTACAGGCGGCCGACGGGCTGCACGGAGACGCATGTTGCGTGCACCGTGCCAGTGGCCGAAGTGATGCGCGACTTAGGAAGTGGTAACTACCAAAAGGCGCGGCAGCTGAGCGAACGCACGAAGACAGAGTGCGTACCGCGTCTTGAGATTCGACTCCGACGCGCTTCTAGGTCTTACGGCTGCTGATAGCATGGGAAGATAGGAGCGGGGCGGCCTTAATAATTTCGTTCCAAGGGTGTTGCGTGGCAGGTGCTGCCCAGAATGAGGGAAGACGCAGAAAATGCAAATTTGGCAGCTTTGTGGGAAGCGGCGGTTCTGTTTTTACCGGTATGCGCAGCTGCACATAAAGCCCAAGATAAACCATCGGACTTGGTCAAGGGATTACCTGCGAGGAATTACTCACGCTGGATTGTGTCTCACACAAAGCTTCCGTTCTTAGCTGGCCAATGCGCCTTGCTGGTTCTGCGGAAGCTGTGAAATAGCTTCGAGCACGAGCGGCCACTCGCCGGAGTAAATATGCTCGGGGCCCAATAATTGAGTAGCGGCAAGATCGATGCCGGGAGTCTTTGCATTGTTGAGGGCAAGGTCTCGAGCCCTAGGCACGCTGTCAGCGTTACAGCCAAGGCACCTACTGTTAAACACAGGGCCTGAGGTTGGCATGGCAGCGAACTGATGTCCTCGAATGGGTCAATTCTGCCGGGCTGACATACGCGAACACTCAGATTGACTGAATGGAAGGGGCAAAGACCCCGACAGAATCATTCAATTCGCGGGGCGCAGCACAGTGTGCCGTGTTCCGACAGTTCTGTGCCAGCCCTTCGTGTGTGTGTGCTTTTGGTCCAGAGTTGACACTACGGTGACTGTTGTTAGTTGGCGTAGGAACGCATATGCAGATCACATACTGTGGCTTCCCCGCCCGGAGATTGATGTATTCAATTGATGATTTCTAATGCTGCGGCCGTGACAGCCACTGGAAAGGTCCTGACGAAACCACCGACTTGGCGTTCCACGGCGAGGTGCTTAGTATTCTTAGCGGTGGGTACGCAGAACGCAAGAGGGGGAGTCTACTGCCAGAAGGGGACCATTGTATGACAACGCGTACATCCAAGATACGTAAGTAATAGCAATGTGCGGGATAATGGGACCCGTCGATCAAGCGGAGTTTGCCGAAACGCTTCACCATGAACACACCACAGACCATGGTCAGTCCCCATCCATGAACATCTTCCCAGCTCGTACTGACACTCCTATCGATGCAACATGACACCGGGCTTGCCGACTCGACGGGTACTCAACTTTTGTGGATTGTTTCGCGCAGGCCCTAGGCTGGGGCAGTCTAATCGTCGCAGCGGGCGTCAGCTACTACTTTGCAAGGCAGAACATCAACGAGCGCCGCAAGCTGCAGGAGGACGCGGGTCAGAGGCCGTCAGAGAAGCTTGACTGTGAGTAATCTGCAAGCTATATGCGTGTTATTGGCCAAGACACCATGGCCGCGTGGAAAGCACTGACGCTAACTTCGCGCGTTGGTCAGGGCGCGCAAGGATCGCGCAGGAGGAGAAGCAGGCGGAGGGTGCCGCCGGAGGGTCACCAGAAGGCACTCTTGTGAATGTGAAGCCGTCACCTGTTGCCTCTGGAGGATCAAGGCCTGGCCATGATACATGACGACGCACACCTTCAGGTTTGGTGCGGCATCCATTGACATAGACGACTACCTTCCCGTGCTATTCTCCTTCTGTCCGTCGGCTGAGAGTCTACTACTTTTATGGTTACCCACTACCTTTCGGCTACCAAGCATCTTGAGATCCCGCTGTCGAGAACTAAGTAACGGGCGCATCATATGATCTATTCCGAGCAACATTGTCGTGCGCTGCAGTCTACTACTTGAATAGGGCGCATACAGCTATTGGAATATAATCAGGACGTTTCAGGTGCATTGTCTGCGTCAGCATCTGCGACAGTCGAAGCGTACTTGCCGGTCTGTACTGCCACTGATGATACCTTTTCTCATGTCTCCTCTTATTAATTGTTTCTTTCAAACCTGACAGAGCAATAGCATATGCCCTCGGCAATCTGATGCGTGTAAAGCGATCGTGTGCCTACTTCAATCTACGCGAGCGTGCCACGCTGGCGGGTTCCATCGAGGATTGGTGTGGTTGGTACGAATGTTTCACGCATTCCAGCATTCAGCGGGCCTAATAATCTCTTTGCACTTCTGTCCTACTCATTCGTTCTCGGCTTACGTTGTTATGATTGCGGTCTTACCTTTTCAGTGGAGGCTTGTTGCTTTTCCGGAGCAGGATCCTCCCTCGTAAGCTTCAGCTTTATCTCCTTACGTTACTCCACACATGGCATGGCCGGGCTTACTGCGGCAAGCCACGAATGCTAGAACAGTGCTACCAGATGCACAACGAATGTGGGAAGACTCAACCTGTCCGGTAGCCGGAGGTTCTCGCAGGTGTGTGGACCCGGGTGTGAAGTAAGCGCAGATAGTGACGGTGGGCAGGCTCGTGAACCGGATAGAACTACCTGGCCTTCGCTTGACACTCGCGCAAGGCACAGTAGACAATCTAGTGTCGTTGCAATACATGGGACAGAAATGAGCAAGAAGGCCCGTGAACGACTTACCCCCGCGCTGCGCCCGCAAGACCAATGGACATGAAGCAATTCAGTCTCAGGGACGCCAGGCCAGCGTAATAGAAGCAGGCCGTATAAGGCCAGCGAATAGAGTTGGCGGACCATCGCCGTGTTCTGGCAGCGATCCTCCGGGTGTGGGGCCGCGCGGTGCATCTCCGCGGCAAGCAGCGCCCGGGGCGCCCCCTGTGACTTGCGCAAACGGCCGCAAGGAAAAAGAGAAGCAGCGCCGACGTGCTTTGATTCAAATCGCCGAGACAGCTGAGGCACACGGGGCGCGCGATGAATTGAGGTGCGTAAGTAGCCTAAACAGGCAGGACTATACCGCAGGAGGAGCTAACAGGACATGTGCGCGCGGTGCGAGCGGAACAGGCACTTAATCGTGTTATTGATTCATGTGCTTGTGTGCTAGCGGCCCGAGTACCGTTGACAGCGATGGTGGCGTGCTATGTGACGACAAACTGAGATTGGGATTATGTGAGTCCTCGCTATTTCGCATGTATGTACATACCTAGTAGGTGCGCTAATCACTACACGATTGCCCATCTCATCTAATGTAGTCAGATACATCACCCCTGCGAATGATCCCAAGTACTTGTCACTGTATTCCAGTGCTGCCATTGTCGCCACTAATGCTGAACCTACCCGAAACAGCACTTTTTGAAGTTATGTGGATACAGCGCACGGCTCTCATGCAATGGTCGAATTCTTGTCAACTCGATAGGGCCAGAGCAGTGGCTGATGCACTCGTATCACTGACATGGCCTGATGTGATTCCTTGGTGGGAGAGTGAATGGCCCGGATACATCCGATGCATTGGTATTTACACTGCAATCTCAATATGTCGAGTGGTCGTACATATCCTACCACAACGGCTCTTCCAATGCTTGAAGTGCGAATCCTGATCTCGCTGAGTATACATTATTTTCTCTTGTCACTGACGAACCAAATGGAACAGCATCTTGCGAAACAGATGGGTCATCATTGGTGTGTGCTGCGAGAATAGGACATTGCGGGTGGGTCACCACCCTATTAAGAGACAAGAATATACCACAAGCTCCTTCTTTTCCACACTCCCTTATGCCAGCTGCTGTCCGTGCTAAAGCTTCTCAAGAGGCTGAGTGCACGCACATCCTCCACATGATATTTTCGAAGAGAAAGAATAAGCCATGAATTCTCCGTTCACGACAGAGTTATGGTGTTGTAACTGTAGATGTCACCTTATTCTATACACATAAAGTACTCGACTTAGTACGAGCCCTTCCTGGCGATGCAAATCTGTATTATCCAGTTGGATAATGTCGCTCGGGCAGCTCCCGTCGGATGAGCAAAGCTGTGTTCTCAGCATTCATTCTAACAAAAGAGAGCTCGCTTCTTAGAAGTTGAGCTTCTGACATTTCATTATGCAATTTAGGCCACACTCGCCTTCAAATACTTCAGCCTGCCAGATTGTATTTTTGTGAATAATCTCTTGGTAAAGATGAGGGTAGAAGAGGCTCGGTGGAGGTTTGAATGCCGTCCAGTCTCAAAATGAGCGAGAAATACTCAGAACACAAGGCCGTGTTGGCATGGTCGATGTTATCGGAGAACGTGTATCAGGAAGAGCAATTTAGGTACACTTTATACGTCGATATTAGGCCATATATGCGTACAAGGCCTAACGCTGACGTACCAGAACTCAATCTGGTACTAATTGCCATATAAGTGCGCACCAATGATTCAAGTCTGCTCCCGACTTCCAACCATTTTCGCGAACTGCTGCTATCTTCTGCATGCGACCCCAGGGCGAGATTCGAAACATACGTCCCCAGGACGTCCAACAACTTTAACAATCCTCGGTTTCGGCTTCCTGCTCACATTTTAGGAATGCTGGCAATATTGATTTTATTTAAGTATATATCAATGAGAGAGAAACAAACAATCTTTCGGCATACAGAGAACTTTCAACTTTTATGCTCACCTGTTAGGAACCACCCCAACGATCAAGGCCGAGAGGAGCTCACGAACGCATGCAGCCAGCGCCGTCTGCGCTACACATAGACTGTACTTATGAACTGGAGCTCTGTTACCACGCTAAGTAAGTAACAATAGTACCGACACCCCCCGAGTAGCCATGCTGCCCAGGACATGGCCCCACCATACTTTGTCAGCTAGAACCAATGGGGTAGGATTCCCCCGTCGGATACTCGTCGGTCAGTCCCGCGGAGTACTGTCTATTGTTATTCTCATACAGACAGCAGATGCAGATTTTCAAGGCGGCCTTGGAGTGGTGCAGAGCCCAGGCGCTAAGAATTCGGATGGAGATGGGGGCAATTGAGGTCACAGTGATTTGATCATCATCATTGCGTAGGCGGCGGGTCATCAAGCGCCAAGCCCAATGTCTCCGACAGTGATCTTCGACCTTTTGCGGAGACGATGCCACCGCGGGGAGTCTAACCAGCCATTCTACGTCCTCTTCGAATAACAAGCGCAAGTCGCTCCTTACTCGCGCTCCCCTTGTGAAATACTCTTCTGTCTTTTCCGATCTACCACCCGTCGGCAGTCACATCGTAGCGGGCTTTTGCGCAGCAAGCATTTCTACCACAAGCAACGACACTGCAAAGGGCAATTCGCTCATGATACCGCTATACCTGGCTCTGCTTCCCGCTTTCGCGTCTGCGTATACCTTCAACTTCACGAGCATTCCGCAGCAATGTGAGAACCTCGACATCAGCATTGCAGGCAGCGGCAAGCCACCATACTCAGTCACGATTATCCCGTTCGGGCCGTCACCGCTGGAGAACAACACTGAGGTCAGGCGGATATTCCAGACGTCATTCTCTGGGTCGTCGACGAGCTTCAACCTGCCATACCCCGCAGACTCTCAATTCGTCGCAGTAGTGAGTCGTCGCTCCACATTGATGCCAGACCGCCGCCACAAAGCTGCGATCTAGGCCCGAAGCAGCATAGTCTAACAGGTTGACAGGTCAGCGATTCATCTGGGTTCGGCTCTGGCGGGACGAGCATCGCAGCAACGGTGCTTTCAAGCAGTGCGCCTGTATGCTACAACACGACGGAGGTATCGCCCGCGTGGGCGTTCAGCATCGTTCCCGCAAATCAATTGGTCGAGTGCTCACCCACGCGCATCTGGTGGAACCCTTCGGTCGTCCAAGGAACACCTACATTCCAGGGTGTCATTCCAGGCGGGCAGTCGTTCTCGATACCCGAGTCAAACTTCTCAACCGTACCTGAGGAGGGCTACGGCTTCGACTGGACGCCGTCCGTGCGGATAGGCACGACGGTGATACTGGTGGGCAGCGACAACAGCGGGGCAGGCACCGGCGGCAGCGGACTGTACATCGTCTCGCAGGGGTCATCACAGTCCTGCCTTGACGCAAGTTCGCCGTCGTCGACGCCGGGGTCGCCAGCAGGTGGAACATATCCTACGAGTACGAGCGGAGCAGGCGTAGGTGATGGAAACAGTGGAAGCAGTGGAAGGTACGTGGACGCTGGTGGCTTACTCCATAGCGCGCTCACGTACCTGTCAATTTGACAGTCACACGAATGTCGGTGCTATAGTTGGTATGCCAGCTGCGCATGATGTGTCAGTGTCAAATATGCAGGCTGATGTGTTCCCACAGGCGGTGTCATCGGCGGTGTGGGAGGCGCCATCGTTCTAGCAGTGCTACTTCTCCTGTTCCTCCGCCACCGCAAGCGCGCCTCACAGACACCGAAAGAGCGACCGGTAGACCTGCTCAATGACACGAGTGATCATGACCATGACGATGGCGGGTTGCCACAGTATTATGAGCCCGAGCCATATGTCATGCCAGAGCCGACGGTGCTCTCCACCGCGGAGGGAAGCAGTCAGGCGGGCTCGGAGCGGCGGCAAACGTTGCTGTCCATGCCGAGCGGGCTGCGCCCTGGTACGCCGGACTCGCTCGGCATGCGCAGTGGGACGACAGGCTCGCGCAAGTCGCCCGCGCCGCCGACGCTACGGGCGGTGAACATTGTCCAGCACGAGGATGCGGGTCCTCCGGAACCGGCAGACCAAGAGGAAGAACCGGAGACAATCGAGCTACCGCCTGCATATACAAATCTGCGAAAGCAGCCGCCAACGCAGGCGGGTGTGTCCGCATAGGCCGTGAGCACATTTGTACGTTGTGAGACAGTCGTGTTAACAGTCCGCTAATAACGCTGTGACCCAGTCTCGCGCGCGTATCTATTTCGGCATCTGGAGATCACTTTGGTGCTCCAGCATTGTATACCTACCGCCTCTCATGACAAGATATCCCTTCTCTTTATTCTTCAGGGACTGTCGTACGTGCCATAGACCAAAATCACTCCTTAGTCATGGACAATTCCCCCCGTATATCATGGCACTTTAGTGTAAGTCCATATAATTGTTTTAATCTGTATATAGTGATGCCTCTGGCACGCATATTTAACTATCTAGTCTGCAAACTGACTTTGACTCGCGGGATAGACTTTCGCATGCGATCGATCCTGTTGGCGAGAGGTTCTATACCGGTCGGAAACGTAGATCAATGAGCGGCTCCCCTCTGGAGCCTTTCTCACATGGGCACTCCATCACGTATGTTATTGATCGCCTACTGCAGTCCATATACACAGTCTCGGTACTGTACCTCCATACTACGCCCTCGCTGGCCCGAGACTACTCGGTGCTTCGACACAAGACGGTTGAATCCTTGTCGGGCCCGTGGCCCTCATGGCGTGTGAGCGATGATACATGTATTCATTGTCGGAACTAGTCGTGAGGAGGCTTATCAGCTACATCATCTCATGCCCTGCGCTGAAAACAACTCAAGGAAACGTCCTCGGAGGTCGGTCGGTTCGCTGCGTTACCATGGCCTCTTGCTTCTCGTGATCGTCTCATCTTTTATTATTTATTATTATTATTATTTATTTATTTACCCTTTTTCTAAATCCAGTTTTGTATCCGCTTGAGGGCTTTGCCCTATGCCGGATAATACATGCGCTTGTAGTGCGGAGCGGGGCGTGTAAAGATCATGGGCTGTCAGGTAGCATGGAGAAAAGTGAGCGCGAGCGAGCTATCGTGCGTGTCCCGGGGTGTAGGTAATCAGGTCATATTGTGCGCGGGCGACTTTGTGGGAAGGGGCCGGGTGAGGGCGTATTCGAGTGCTGAAGCGCAAGGGGGAGGGAGGATAGGTAGTTGTAGGTAGGTGATTAGTGTATGTGCAGCAGTAGTGTTCCGGTAATGGAGAATATCAGCGCATAATAAGGGACGAGGTGGAGGAAAGTGGGAGGAAAGAGAATAAAACGAAGAACCTGAGTAGCACGGTCGTTGGTAGGCATTAGTGTCTTGCCGTGACGTATCGTCTCATCTTTGACAGCTGCACAAGTCACATCTAGTAAGAAATCCATCGCATTTTCATGAAACAACATCGGCTTGTGGACTGTACGCTCGATCGTACAGCACCTTTAATGGATTCCAAGTATCCTTGGAGTGAACACTATCGATATCTATGGAGACTGGCTTGCAGCCTCTCTGAAGCAAGGCGCCCTCTGCAGGTGGTTCGAGGAAACCATCATAGTCTGGTACGATGGGACGTATTGGCTCGATGATCTCCAGGACACGCAATACTACGACCCGTCTTTGCGCATGATTTGGAAGCGTAGATCGTTCGAAGCGGCAAAGTATTTGGCCTATGTAGTAATGAGGGGTTAATGTGCAGGTCCAGTCGTCGTTTTTGCAAGCTCACCCGTATATGCTGGACCGCTCACATGTCCCCTGAGGTCCCACCACTGAGTGCGAAAACGTGGACCTCGAACTAGATCCTCGCCTAGCCAAAGAAACGGCGTGAATAAGTCGTCGGAGAGATTTATTATGAACGGGTCTTCGATGCCAAACAAAGATTGGGAAGTCTTGCGGTGAATGATGCGTATATTTGTTTGTTTTTTCCAATATTCCAAGAGGTCCTGGGATATGAGCTGGTCTCTGAGGAGGACGTTGGCAAGCGTACGGTAACGGGTGCTCGTCGCGATTTCTAATAGACGTATGGCGTACGGTAAGCGGCCGAAACGGAGAGAGAGGTCCGTCCCGGAAGCGAAGTCGAGCTCGCCTGTAGGAGGGAGGAGTCGGAAGCGGACCTCGCCAGCAGTGGGAGGACGAGAGGGAGGCCTATAATAGTAGAGCCAGCCCCTGGGTTTATGCGGGAATTGACTGCTTGCCGTTGAAATATCATTGCTCAGCCAGGGCGAACCAGTATTCACCTCCGTGAAGGCGCCATCCCTTGCCCGGCCATTTGGAGCTTGGACTCGCTTCCACCATGATCCTTTCGCTGTTGGCTTTGAGCGGCGGGCCAACGTCGTGCGGTCCCAGACTTGGGTTGTCGTCCCACTTAGTGTGATGACGTCGCTTGAACCAAGACGAGATGCATCGAGGGTCGTGATGGAGTTAGTATAGCAGGGGGTATAATCAGTTGAACGCTGCCCCGCGGGAAGCTCGTGCTGCAGAGGTCACCAAGTTTGATCGCATAAATGCTCGACAACATTGAACATGGCTTACGATGATGGTCGTGCTAAAGCCCGAGCTAAGCGTGCCAGAAACTCTGCGTCCTGCGCCTGATCGTTGTGTTACCCTGAGGCCAGATGTCTTGAAAGGCACTGGTAGTGCAGCATTACATACTCGTAGCATGTAGATTGGTAGGCTATTGCACGTCCGAGAATCAATTTCCGGTGAGGTGCCGGTCAGCGTTGCGGGCGCGGATGAGTTCGAAGTAACGAGCTAGCCAATAGCAATGCGCGCGTGGGAAATGCAATCCATTGGACTATGGCGGTACCAAGATCAGAGGCACCGTACATAAGGAGTCCACAAGAATGCATAGAAAGTCCCATACATGCAGTTCGTACATACAGAGAATAACAAGAGCGACGGCGAGAACACCTGCGCTGGAGGTGGTTCATTGGTACACATTCTATTTTTGTCAGTAATTCGGCTCCTCACAAGACGCATCTGATGACTCAGAATTTAGGTATTATATTGAGAGATTGAGACATCTGGTTTGGTGATAAGAGAACAGACGAACAAAGATAGAGCTGAGTTTCCATCCCACGAGAGACACGACGAGACCCCTTCTTATCATTGGCATGCCGTACGTTATCCACCTCCTTGGAGCACCCCGAAGAAGGTGGACGGGACCCCCGACGGACGTAAAGTGGCAACGCAATACTACAAAATAGAACGACCACGAAGAGACGGACGACATCAAGGACTCACTTCATCTTCTACCCCCCCTTCGCTGACTAGTCAGGATGCCTAAAGCAGAGGCAATACACAATGACCTCGTACCGGGCACTGTTCACCTCGTGGATATCGGAGGTGGGACCCAAGGCGCAAGACATGACAACGACCACGATGATATTGTGCTCGTGCCACGGCCCAGCAGCGACCCTGAGGATCCTCTCAACTGGTCGCGACGGCGTAAACTGTTGGCGATTTGCATGGTCTACCTATACGCGGGCGTAGGCATCGGCATCCCCGCTACTTTGCAGTACAGCGTGTTGGCGGACATTACCCGAGACACAGGGATCACCACCGCGGAGCTCGTCCAGGGCACGGGCCTCATGTTCCTCTTCCTCGGCTGGGCTTGTTTGATTTGGCAACCCATCGCACTCACGTACGGGCGGCGCGGCGTCTATGTCCTCTCATGCCTCTTCACAGTCCCGATGATGATCTGGACGGCGCACTCGACATCTGCAGGCGAGTGGTATGCTCATCGTATCATGCTCGGTATCATCGCGTCCGTCAGCGAGTCGCTCCCCGAGGTCAGCGTGTTTGATCTGTACTTCGCACACGAACGCGGCACGTACATGGCGCTCTACGTGTTCACCATATTCGCCTCGAATTTCCTGTCGCCTCTGCTCGCCGGATGGTTCAACGACGCGTACGGGTGGCGTTGGACCATGCAGTTCGGTGCCATCGTGAGCGCACTGAGCGCGGTCATCTTATTTCTCTTTATGGAGGAGACGATATATTTCCGCGCTTCTGTCGAAGGCGACGAGCTAGAGGTGCCGGAGGCGAGACTCAGCGCAGGGGATGCGGTCGACGTGCAGCTGGATGAAAAGGATTCCAAGTCTACCAATGATCAGCATACAGTTGATGTCGCTTCATCGCCCGCATACCCGCCGCCTCGTACATATTGGCAGAAGCTAGCGCTGTTCATCCGCAAGCCCGGGCGTCCGAGCAACAAACAAATGTTCAAAATGATGTACCGACCCCTCATCATGATGTACTGGTTCCCGTGCACAGATTGGGCAGGATTCCTGTACGGCATCAACCTCTCATGGTACAACGTCCTCAACGGAACGGCTTCACCTGTCCTCTCCGCACCACCTTACAACTGGTCGCCTGCGCTCGTCGGATCCGCGTATACCGCACCCATCATCGGCGCTATCTTCGCCGCAATATGGTCTGGCACCATCGCCGACAGATTCACCATCTACCTCGCGCGACGCAACGGGGGCGTCCGTGAGCCTGAGCAGAGGCTGTGGCCGCTCGTGGTATCTGGGACCATGGCCACGGCGGGGCTGATAACATGGGGCGTTGGGGCATACTATGGCATCAGTTGGGTGGGACTGTGCTTCGGGCTCGCGATGCTGACATTCGGGGTGGTGACGGGCGGGTCAATCGCGGTGTCGTACAACGTGGACTGCTTTAAGGAGTTGGGAGGAGAGACGACGATCAGTGTCATTGTGATCCGAAAGTGCGTTCATTCCGTACTCGCCTCTAACGTGCGTAATGAGTACTCATCTGTTGGATTCCTGCAGCACCCTCGGATTTGGCTTCAGCTATGCGATCACGCCGTGGTACACGAATCAAGGCCTGAAGAATTGCTTTATTGCGGCTGGATTCATATCATTGGCTTGCACCTTCACGTTTCTCTTCATGATCGTATACGGGAAGAGATTGAGGAGATTCTCGAGAGATAAATACTGGGAATATGTAGCGACAAGTACTGTTGCTCACTAGAGAGAAGAATTAGTGCTGTCGGAACGCATGAAGTGCAAGAAAGCAGATTACGTGAGTGTAGAGTCCGCTCAGGAAATGGGCTGATTAGCACGCACGTCATAGTGCATACGACAACCATATGAGTTCTAGAGTGTGTTCATGTCCCACTGCAGACGTACGATTCTGGGTTGTTCTAAGGTTCATAGTTCAGTTTGTGGGCTAAGGACAGTCGTCTCTGCATCTGTTCGTTGTCAGTGATGGTATTATAAAGTGCAACAAATAGACGTTTGATCAGGGGCCATGGTCTATTTCAGATTGACAGTGAAGTCTATGCTCGATGCCACGCAGCCGCGACTACTGAAACGGGACATAGCGTATCCGGACGACAAGGTGCGATCAATACACAAAAGTCGGCTTCCTGGACTACTTGTGCGTGCGGATCTTGTAGATTATCGTATGGCCCGATTACTAGTGAACCGCTGTCCATGCAGTGGGCATTGCGCTGTTTCTGACCCAGGATCTGTCAGCGCAACCACTTCAAGTAGAGAATGTGCAGCATATCTTTGCCGGCTTCGGGCTTGGTCTGATCAGCGGGCGACAAGGTGAAGGAGGAGGCACCGTAAGTCACTTCTCCCGAATACATTATTAGGCGACGACAACAGCACTGGATGGGCATCAGCCTCGTTTCAACAATGTCTTGTCTCCGAACAGAAATTAGGATCATTTGAGTGTCGGCGGAACGGCATTCATTTGAGGTCAGGTTACACCGAGTCATCAGAGTGTTGGGACCTCTCGTCTTATGTAGTTGGTGAGCCACTAGGCTAGAACAGTACCGAAACGCATCTGAGAAAAATGCTTGATTACTTTCATGCAACAAACTCGGGTTATGGACTAACCGCTCGATCATAAAGCATCCTCAATGGATAGAAATTCTCTCCAGGATCAGACAAATGGTCAAGATTTATGTGCCCCACCTTCCCGCGTCTGCGAACTAAGGCACCTTCCATTGGCCGCTCAATGTGGGCAACATAATCGGGTATGAGGCAATGTACTGGCTCGACGATCTCCAGGACACGTAACGCCACGATGCGTCTACCTTCATGCTCTGGTAGCGTTGAGCGTTCAAAGCGGCAGAATCCCGCCACTGGTTATAAACTAGGGGACCGCGGAGTAGATCCTCATCAATCGAAGTATAAAATAAAAGCTTTGACCAGGCAAGGTCGAATATGAAGGGGTCCTCCAGACTCGAAAGGATTTGTTTATTCTCGCGGCGAAAGACCTGCATGGCCAAATCCTTCTTGCACGTCGCGCAGCGTTCCAAAACGTCAAGAGAAACGAGCTTGTCTCTCAAGAGGACACTGGCAAGCATGCGATAATTGGGTTCCGTCGCAATTTGTATCATGTGTATGGAAAAAGGCAACCCAGAATGAAAGTGTAAATCGGTGCCAGATGAGAAGTCGTACTCGTGCGTTGAAGGGACGAGTCGGAAGCGGATCACACCGGAAATGAGAGGGCGGGAGGGGGGTCTATGATAATAGAGCCAGCCTTTGGTTCCTGGAGGAAATGGCCTGACCTCGCCTTTGGAAGCCCCCACAATACCATAATAAAGCACCGTGGAGGCGCCATGTGATCGTCGGCACTCAGGAGTGTGGGCGGGAAACTTCCACAGTGATCCACTACGGGTCGGCTCTGTGCGGCGCAACAGATTCTCGCGATCCCAGATCGCGGTCAGGTTCCCAGATAGAGTCACGATGTCGGATGGGCCCAGACGAAGCGGATCCAGGGTTCCGATGTTGTTGGCAAACCTGGGCATTATGCTCCGTGCAGGCGTCGAAAGCCCTTGCTACAGACGACATGTGCATTACTAAAGTGATTTGAAAATGTTTGACATGACTCACGGAGAATTTCCTGCTGAAATACGACTTTAGCGATCTGTGTTCGGCATTTGATCGCTGTGTCAACACGAAGCAAAGACCGCCACTGAAAGCAGACGTCTTCAAGGGGACTAGTGATAGTGCGGCGTATGTTCGTATCATATGAGCAGATAGACCGCCGCACAGCGAAGAGGCTCCTGCAGTATATTGTATATGTTCGATAACAGTGTCACCATCAAAGGCCGCACGACAATGACTTCACATCATGCGTGGGAAAATGTGCTCTCCCTGCAAGGGAACTTCCGTGAAGGCTCGTGCTACGAGTGTTTGAACGGGCATATAACTTAGGCTCTTGAAGGTCTCAGGACAAAAGGTATGCAATCTTGGGCATTGAAATGGCACTGGGAGTGTGCCATCCTCTTGCCATCCTTACAGACCGCGGAATATGTATTTTGACTTCAACCATTGGTGCGCATGATCTTTTGCAAGGGGATTGGATTGCTCGATAGTAATGTACGTTCCCAACCTTTCTGAGTATCTCGGCTCTTCTCGAGTCTCGGGACCACATTGATGGCTGGGAGGTAGCGAGTGATACTCAGACATCGATTTTGGAGTGATAAGTAAGTTGACGCGCAACGCCTGCGATGGGCCACAACAAGACTTTCAAACGCCCCAATTCCCACTGTCACCCAAGGTTAAGAGGGTTCTCAGTCAAAGTCAAAGGCGCTAGCTGCTTATCATTGTGCATGCCGTACGTTATCCACGTCTTTATGGCATCCTGAATGTGAACGGAACCCCCGACGGATGTTCAGCGGCAGGCCAATGCTAGGAAGCAAAACAGTCATGACAAGATACAAATGTTCAAGGCTCACCATTTCATCTTCACTCCGATATACCTCCCTGAATAGCCAGAATGACTAGACCGGCAGCCCGCCACGACCTCATACCCGGAACTGTTCATCTCGTGGATATTGGGGGCGGCATCCATGATGCAAAACATGATAGCAACCACAGGGATATCGTGCTCGTACCACGGCCCAGCAGCGACCCTGAGGATCCTCTCAACTGGCCACGCCGACGCAAGCTGCTCGCCATCAGTATGGTATACTTGTACGCGGGCATCGGCCTTGGCATATCCACCGCCCTGCAGTACAGCGTGTTGGCGGACATTACCCGAGACACAGGGATCACCACCGCGGAGCTCGTCCAGGGCACGGGCCTCATGTTCCTCTTCCTTGGCTGGGCTTGTTTGATTTGGCAACCCATCGCACTCACGTATGGGCGACGCGGCATCTATGTCCTATCCTGTCTCTTCGGCGTGCCGCTGATGGTGTGGACGGCATACTCCACCTCTGCCGGAGAGTGGTATGCGCACCGAATCCTGCTCGGCATCGTTGCATCGGCGGGCGAGTCGCTCCCCGAGGTCAGCGTCTTCGACCTCTTCTTCGCGCACGAGCGCGGCGCATACATGGCATTCTATGTGTTCACCATATTCGCCTCGAATTTCGTGGCGCCTCTTCTTGCTGGATGGTTTAATGACGCATACGGTTGGCGTTGGACCATGCAGTTCGGCGCCATGGTCACCGGGGTCACCGCCGTGATCCTGTTCTTCTTCATGGAGGAGACAATCTACTTCCGCAAAACGGTAGAGGGAGACGAGCTGGAGGCGTCAGATGCGAGACGTAGCGGAGAAGGAGCCGCCAATGTCACGTTTGACGAGAAGGACTCTAAGTCTGCCGACGATGAGCACATTGTCAACGTTACCCCATCACCTCACTTACCACCTCGCACGTACTGGCAGAAGTTGGCGCTATTCACCCGCAAACCAGGGCGTCCGAGCAACAAACAGATGTTCAAAATGATGTACCGACCGCTCATCATGATGTACTGGTTCCCGTGCACAGATTGGGCAGGATTCCTGTACGGCATCAACCTCTCATGGTACAACGTCCTCAACGGAACGGCTTCACCTGTCCTCTCCGCACCACCTTACAATTGGTCGCCTGCGCTCGTCGGATCCGCGTATACCGCACCCATCATAGGTGCCATCTTCGCCGCAATATGGTCTGGCACCATCGCCGACAGATTCACCATCTACCTCGCGCGACGCAACGGGGGCGTCCGTGAGCCCGAGCAGAGGCTGTGGCCGCTCGTGGTATCTGGGACCATGGCCACGGCGGGGCTGATCACATGGGGTGTGGGGGCGTACTATGGCATCAGTTGGGTGGGACTGTGCTTTGGGCTCGCGATGCTGACATTCGGCGTGGTGACTGGTGGGTCGATCGCGGTGTCGTACAACGTGGATTGTTTCAAGGAGCTAGGAGGAGAGACGACGATCAGTGTCATTGTGATCCGAAAGTGCGTTCATTCCGTACTGGTTTTCTGCGTGATCACTGAGTGCTCATATCTTGATGTCTTGCAGCACCCTCGGCTTCGGATTCAGTTACGCGATCACGCCATGGTACACGAATCAAGGCCTGAAGAATTGCTTTATTGCGGCTGGATTCATATCATTGGCTTGCACCTTCACGTTTCTCTTCATGATTGTGTACGGGAAGAGACTAAGGAAATTCTCGAGAGACAAGTACTGGGAGTACGTGGCGACGAGCGCCGTGGGTCACTAGATGAGGTAACGGGGAAGCTGTCAAGACGCATGTAGTGCGCGAAGGTGAGCTGCGAGAGTTTGGAATACGTATGCGGGATGTGCTGACCGCGCGCATCAGGCTTACCAGCCGCAGTATTGTATCATTTCATCACTCCTCGCGTGTGTCCATGCTTTATAGTAGACGTGCGATCCCGAAATACACTGCAGATTTACGGATCAGCTCACGTGTGCGGAAGATAGTCGCTTCCCTGTGATTCCTTCTGTCTGGCGACAATGTAAGGAATAACAAATTTACTCGTACTTGAGGGCTTTGGAGCCGTCGCCACCCGTACGGTGGCTCCATCGACGGCGAGAAGTGCGGGCCTTTCGTTAAACCTCTAAACATAGCCCCGTTGGCGTAACACCTGAGTAGCAGATGTTTCATCAGTAGTAACATGCGCACTATCTGTCGCAGTGTCCAAGTGAGTGGAAGTCTCGGACTCGGACTAATATGGCGATTGAAGTCGTTTGTAAGCATAGCCGCATCACATATACGAATTACTGACGCTCATAATGTGGAATAATGACAGGTGGGAAGGGGAGAGGACACTCGTGATAGGCGCTCGTGGGAAGCGGCGGTGACGAAAGAGGAAATCAGGTGTTCGTCGACGTTGTCTGCGTGGCATAATAAGATGGTGCACTTCTGCTAGTATGTAATGTTATACTCTAGACTGGCTCGAGTCGTTCCATTGCAAAAACAACAACACGGGTCTGCAGGTCCTCTTCGCGTGAGTACCATCATTCGCGCATGCCCGATGGTAATTGATGGTATTCAGACGTCGTTTGGACATAGAGGACACAATCATGTTTCAAAGTATAATTCTTCTTTCCAGGCTCCCAGCTGCAGGTATAGGTGCTGGCTATGGTGAGCGCCCAGAACATTATAGGATGTACGCAACTGACACGACACGGCATCGCAATCTGACATTCTGCTCTGAACATGAATTTGTCCTTCGAGAAATTCCTGAGAAAGAATGCGAACAATGGCTTTACGTTACTATATTCACGCAGCGGCATACATTCAAGCATCCGATTTTCCCGTTGTTCACAACGTGCGATGATTGCGATGACGAGAGTCCAGCTACTCACTTTAATCCTACAAATCAATGCCTGTGCTGCGGGCGTTGTGGACTGTGTCCGTAATATGTTACTGCATGCCGCTATCACGCCCCTTTGACGTCGGGCGGCTGGTCTCACGACGGCTCCGCCAAACGCCTATATAGCTTTGCCGGTGTTATGGATCAATCCGGACCCGGTTCGATATACATCATGGGCACACGAAGTCCTCCTCCGAGGACGGCGGCGGTCTCACTGGTGTAATGAGCGATCAGACAGCTGGTTCAAACACATCGGCACCCTGAGGCAAGTTACCTCTGCAAATCAATCCAAGGATGACCCAGGACGGGCGATGGATATATAATGGCTTGCCAGCCAGCCCTCTGATCTCAGCTGCCCTCGTAAAGTAATCTGTCCGACGGAAAATGACCACTCCAATTCCCTCCCCGCCATCTCTTCCCTTCCTTGGCCATGTCACACATATCGACAAGGAAGTCCCCCTTCGCACTTATGTGTTGCTTTCCCAGCAGTATGGCGAAATATATCAAATGAATCAATTCTGTGAGTAAGAAAATCTACAGGGTGACCGTCAAACTCTCAGATCCTGTTCTATTACAGCTACCCAACGCGTTGTCATCAGCTCGTACGAACTTGTGAATGAATGCTCTGACGACAAGCGATTCTACAAGGGCATCAAAGGGTCAACGCTCGAACAGGTCCGCAATGGCGCTGGTGATGGTCTATTCACCGTAAGTCTGAATGCGGAGATCCAGTGAATAGATGACCTAACCTACATTACAGGCGCGCGAAGACGAGGAGAATTGGGGTATTGCCCGTGAGGATAATCGGATATGTCCAAAATGCATTTTAACTGATCTACTTGTAGACCGTCTCCTTATGCCAGCGTTTGGAACGGCTGCAATCAAGGGAATGTTCGACGATATGATGGACATTGCTTCACAACTAATCTCCAAATGGGAGCGGTCAGTTCGAGTACGGTGATAGTTTTGTTGTTCTGTTCTCATTGTAGGCGTAGATTCGGTCCAACGGCAGTGATCAACCCGGCTGATGACTTCACGGGACTGACGTTTGATACGATTGCTCTGTGTGCCATGACCCACAGGTAAACCCTCTGTATGCTTATACAATAGCGTAGCTGACCTCTCTTCAGGCTCAACTCCTTCTATAGAGTCAGCTGGTCTTCTTTCCACGCTCTCGCTGGTGTCTGACACGTTGATCAGGAAACTAATCATCCCTTCGTGCAAGCAATGGCCGACTTCCTCATAGAATCCGGCCATCGCGCCAACCGTCCCTCACTCGTGACCTCGGTTTTGGGCTATCAGACGAAGTACGAGAAGGACATCAAAATCATGTCTGATTTGGTGGACGAAAGTACGAAATAAAACTGTATTTGGTAGTGCCAGGGCTAATGTTTGGCTGGACAGTCATCGCGGAACGCAGAGCTCACCCGATCGAGAAGAACGACCTTCTCAACAAGATGCTCTTGGGTAAGGACCCGAAGACTGGCAAAAAGCTGCCCGAAAAGAATATCCGCTACAACGTTTGTGATCTCGCAGGCATACCCTGCTTGTACCTACTGACATTTATCGTAGTTGCTAACGTTCCTCATTGCTGGTAAATATCATCGCATCGTCTTAAATCACTCGGCGCTGACGCTTTCATATAACACCAGGACATGAGACCACATCATGTATGTAAAAAGATCCCCCCCACCCCGGATCGATGATAACAGAGGGTATTTTGCAGCGACCTTGACGTTCACCATTTATCACATCATTAGTAACCCGGAGGCTACTCGCAAGTTGCGAGAAGAAGTGGACGAGGCCCTTGGGGATCGGCCCATACAGCTGGGAGACCTGAACAAGTTCCCGTATCTCAATGGTGAGATTGGCCTAGATTCTGTCCGATGCAAGGCTTGTCTGATCATCCTCGTGTGTAGCGTGTCTGCGTGAATCGATGCGCTTGAGTCCCCCCGCGCCTATGCGTTATGTCAATGCTATCAGTGATACAATAATCGGCGGGGGAAAGTACGCAGTTAAGAAGGACCAGACTGTGATAGTAAATGTCGCGACATCCATGAGAGATCCACAGATTTGGGGCGAGGACGTACGTCCATATGCCCTTACCCACATCGGTCGCTAATCTCGATGTTTAGGCGGACGAGTTCAAACCGGAACGCATGCTGGACGGAAAGTTCGAGGCTCTGCCCGTCGGTCGTTATAGCTGCATCAGTACTGCCCTTTTCTCACTAATGCTTCGTAGCCCAACGCGTGGCAGCCTTTCGGCTTCGGGATGCGCGCCTGTATCGTATGTCGTTTGTGTCTACACACGTCTGGTCACTCACACCCACATTTGTAGGGCCGTGCGCTCTCATGGCAAGAAATGACTATCATCATCGCGCTGATATTCCAGCATTTCTATCTCGTCGTAGATGACCCCTCGTACGAGCTCCAACTCAAGCAGACGCTCACCATCAAGCCGAAAGACTACCACATCCGTGCGATCCCTCGCAAGGGCGGCTCCGTACCGATTGCTCTGTCGAGCTCATCACTGCACAAGGCGCGATTGGGCGATCAGCCACAGCCGACGCAGCCAGCGTCGGTTGCAGGCTCGGAGTTGCGCCAGCAGCTGTACGTGCTATATGGATCTAACACCGGCACGTCGGAGACGTTTGCGCAGCGCGTGACGAGTGATGCGGCTACTCATGGTATGTCAAACGGAAGTTATCGCAAGAGATTTCTACTAACAAACAGCAGGCTTTCGTGCCGTGATGGGAACCCTAGACTCGGTCGCCGGCAAGCTTCCTACTGATGGTCCTGTTGTCATTATCACTGCTTCATTCGAAGGTATGTCAATCTCTTACATGGTACCGCAGAACTAGGCGCTGATGCGCAGGTGCAGGCGAACCTGCTGACAACGCCGCGCATTTCGTGGAATGGGTAACGAACGTGAAGGGCACAGAATTGGCTAACGTCAGTTATGCTGTCTTTGGCTGCGGCAACCGTGACTGGTTCCAGACCTACCAACGTATTCCTAAGCTGATCGACAGTGTGCTGGAAGAACATGGAGCGAGGCGGCTCATCGAGGCAGGGGCCGGCGATGCCAGCGAAGCTGATTTCTTTGAAGCCTTTGATGACTGGGAGCGTAAACTGTGGGAGACTCTCTCTGAGGCGCGTTCATTTCTGGGAATCCGCACAATAATGAGTACTTACATACCATGCGGTGTCGTGCTATAGGACTACAAGGCGACACTTGGCGAAGTTCCCGTCGATACCTCAAGCCTTACGTTGAAGACCGTTGATGCAGGTACACACAGAGCGGCGGTATTGCGCCAGTCAGATGCCGCTTTGGGCACTGTCGTCGAGAACAGGCTGTTGACCACGCCAGGGGTACCCCAGAAGAGACATATTGGTGAGCTATCCCTGCGGCCGTCTTTACATCATGCTAAGCAGAACAGTCTTCGAGCTCCCCGAGGGTATGGCTGCTCGTGCAGGAGATTATCTTGCAGTGTGAGTCTGCACGTTTGACGTGATCTCGGGTCATTGACGGATCCACAGTCTGCCTTCTAACCCAGTGCGTGATGTTCGCCGTGCCATTGCGCGGTTTGGTCTCCCCGCGGAGCAGGAGGTGATGACCTCTGGTCATAAGCAGACTATGGATCCTGACAGCAATACAGATTATTTTGACAGCCACTGGCCCAACGCCACTACCCGTGGATCGCGCAATCAGCGTCTCTGCTCTCCTATTGGGCTATGTGGAACTCTCGCAGCCCGCAACGACGCGAGACCTGCGCATCCTCGCCTCGGCAGAAGGCGCCCCTGTAGAGGCCATCCAAGAGCTGTCCTCTTCGTATGCAGAGAAGGTGTTGGCCAAGCGGCTCAGCGTCCTGGACATCCTGGAGGAGTATCCGAGCATCAAGCTGCCGTTTGAGACTTTCTTGACGATGCTTCCCTCTATGCGCGTCCGACAATACTCCATCTCGTCGTCTCCGCTCTGGGATGCACAGAAGGTCTCCCTTACCGTAAGTGTCATCGATGCCCCACCCATCTCGGGTCGAAAGGAATCCTTCCTCGGCGTCGCATCGACATTCCTCGCTGGCCTCAACCCCGGCGACAAGGTGCAGATTGCAGTTCGCCCCTCTAACGCCGCGTTCCATCCTCCCACGGATCTCATGACGCCAATGGTCATGTTCGCCGCGGGTTCAGGTTTAGCTCCGATGCGCGGGTTCCTCCAGGAGCGTGCGATGCAAAAGAAGGCCGGCCGCGAGGTCGCGAAGTCGGTGCTCTTCTTCGGCTGCCGCTCGCCTAGCGAGGACTTCCTGTACGCCGAGCCGGACCTGAAGGAATGGACTGAACTTGGGGTCGTTGACGTGCGGCCTGTCTTCTCCCGATCCCCCGAGATGTCGGGTGGGTGCAAGCACGTACAAGAGTACGTCGCCTTTCCCCTTGTCGCTCAAGTTGTGCGTATGTGCTGATCTGCATGTAGTCGCGTCTGGAAGGACCGTGAAGTCGTCAGCGAGGCATTCTACGCTCATGCGAAGGTGGGTTTTGCGTTGACATTCGCTCCGTCGTAGTCTGAATTGCGTTTCCAGTTCTACACCTGTGGCTCCCGCAAACTCGCGCAAGGGATCAAGGACACGCTCACGAAAATCATTATGGAGAAACAGAATGTCGACGAGGTTGAAGCTGCAGCCAGTTTCTCGGGTATCATACAAGGTCGTTACTTCACCGACGTTTTCGAGTAGGTGTGGCACGTTTGGTGTGAGCACTGTGCCATCGTTACGGGTATCTGTTTGCAGTGCCTGATCGCGAGATTGTATTACGCCCCAGTTGAGTAGAGCATATGCACGGCGCTATTATCATGTCAAGTACGAAGATGTTCCCAGCACTGGTTCAGAACCTGAGCCATGTCATCTTGGTAGATGTGAGACAGTATGTGCATGATAAAGAAGAAAATGCATACAGACGTTGCCATTGAGACTAGAAATGTCGTTGGGCAACCCCCATATGCCGCGGCATGAAAGTTGAAAGTTGAAATATTGAACAGCTCAAGCTAGTTGATCAATAGCACATGTGCCATTCAAAACAGGTTTCCTGGGCTGTCAATATCGCGGATCTGTCGATCTTGCCGGTCAATACTGTCTGACACACATGAACCGCTCCCGAGGCCTCGGGCGCGGAGACAGGCAGCGTCTGACGTCTCTTGAACCCCGAATCGTGGCGGATTTGATACACCGAGAGCCGACAAGGGGCTACGTCGTGAGTCTGCAATCCGGCGATGCCATCAGCATGATCCTCCGGGCACTAAGATGTGATCGAGATTCGAGTTGTTTGCAAGTATATTTGCACCCGTAGATTTGGGAGGGGGGGGGAGGTGGGAGGATGCAGTTGTATTGACCAGCGTAGGGCATAGATGAAGCATGTTTAAGATTCGATTCAACTCACGTAATATGACTCTGACAGCAACGCTGTAAAGTGTGTAATGCTTTACGAGATGCAGATGCAGTTCTGAGACGTACTACGAGATACGCCGCGCACATCCAATGCAGTTTCTTCTAGCGGCCCTTCAGGTAATCAATACGGAAGGATCATTTACGTTGCAGACAGTGCTGTCTAAAATGGACCTTCGTCTTCGTTTGCTGGCCAGACCCTCAATTACGATTAGCTCAAGGTGCTTCGGCACGAAGGAAGACAGACAAGATATGGCAGACGTTTTGAACAACCCTTGTGATAGCTAGCGAAGCTACTCACCGGGAATTGGAGGGAGGCCGGAAGCCGGTGAAGCTGCAGCGTCGCGAAGCCTCACGGTCGTCGACTCGCAGGCGGTCAGCAAACGACGGTCAATTTGGTGGTTAAGCGCCCCGAGAGTTTCGGAAACACCACGGCAACGACGGCATCGCGAACCGGGTGTAGCACACCGTCCTCACAATACTTACTTCCGCAATGACCATGACGCTACGCAGACGGACAATGGTCAACCATCACGGCTCTCGACATTGTGCGGCCGGTTAGTCGTTTGATGCCGAGCCGAATGCCTGTTTACCTCGACTGATGCGCTTGGCCAGTCCGGAATCGGTGATTATATCTTCATTACGATTATGCCACCGCGTGCATACACTGAGGCGGCTTCTCCGAGAGTGACGGGCATACTGGTGTAAAGAGTAATCAGACGGCGTATGCAGACGCGCCGGCGTCGCTGGCGCCTGGAATGCGATGCAGAGATCAAATAGATCGCGACCGAGGAAGCGCAACTGCTATATAGGATGGCTGTCAAGTAGCCTTCTAACCTCAAACTGTTCCCACTAGTGTGGTCTTCCGCGAACAATGACGAACCCCATCCCATGCCCACCCTCTCTTCCCTTCCTTGGCCATGTCACCCACATCGAAAAGGAAGTGCCCCTGCGTTCGTTCATGCTGCTCGCCCATCAGTATGGCGAGATATACCAAATGCACCAGTTTTGTGAGTACAAACTATCTCTTGAAATTGTTCGCGACACGCTGACGATATCATATTCTCCTAGCCAGGCACTTGCTTGTCATTAGCTCGTACGAACTTGTGAACGAATGCTCAGATGATAAGCGCTTCTACAAGGGTATTGGCGGAGCACTTGGAGAAGTCCGAAATGGAGTTGGCGATGGCTTGTTTACGGTACGGGTTACTATGGGCGTGATAACCCAATATTCTCAGCCTAATTATTTACAGGCGCGTGCTGAGGAGGAGAACTGGGGAATCGCCCGTGAGTGAGACCTGGAGCAGTTATGCGTGTTCCCAAAACGACGTATTCTCAGATCGTCTCCTGATGCCTGCATTTGGAACGGCCGCAATCAGGGGAATGTTTGACGACATGATGGATATCGCCTCGCAGCTGATCATGAAATGGGAGCGGTGAGCAGTCGCAACAGACATTCCTGTATGTATGCGCGTCCTCACCAAGCTGTAGATTTGGGCCGACAGCCGCGATCAATCCCGCAGAAGACTTCACCCGCTTGACGTTCGACACAATCGCCCTGTGCGCCATGAGCCACAGGTGAGCAGCATATGTGCTTAACTCAGACGCATATACTGACCTCCCTTCAGGTTGAACTCGTTCTACAGGGTTGGTCTCTGTTGTGCTGCCTCGTCCGTGCAATTCTGACACAGAGAGCCAACAGGAAGGGAACCATCCGTTCGTGCAAGCGATGGTCGACTTCCTTGTCGAGTCCGGCAGGCGCGCCCACCGCCCGTCGCTCGTGACCTCGGTGATGGGGTATCAGACCAAATACGAGCAGGATATCAAGATCCTGGCCGACTTGGCCGATGAGAGTACGAACTTTGCATGTTGATGTCACCACGGGCTCTAAGGCATCTATTTCATCCTGCAGTCATTGCAGAGCGCAGGGACAACCCGATTGACAAGAATGATCTGCTCAACAAGATGCTTTTGGGCAAAGACCCGAAGACGGGCAAAGGTCTGTCTGAAGAGAACATCCGAAACAACGTGTGTTCCGCTCTTTTGTTCTTGAGCATACGTCTCGCTAATGTGCTGATCTGCATCTCAGTTGTTGACTTTCCTTATTGCTGGTGAGAGGTCCCGAGTGTCCACGATCTCTAGCTTTGCTGATGTTTCTCCTCAAATTAGGGCATGAGACAACGTCTTGCAGGTTGCCTTATCTCGTCTTGTTTCACGCCGCTGACCTGCAGAATATGCAGCGACTCTTTCTTTTGCTACATACTACATTCTCAAAAACCCGGAGGCGGCCCGCAAGCTGCGTGAAGAGGTCGACGACGTGCTCGGTGACCAGCCAATCCAGCTGGGCGATCTGAACAAGCTACCTTATCTCACTGGTGAGGATCATTGAACATGATACAAAAATGATTTTGATTATTGTGGTTCCCATTAGCGTGCATACGGGAGGCGCTGCGCCTGGGGCCTGCAGCACCCATGCGCTCCGTTAGTGCCGTCGATGCAACAACGATCGGCGGCGGGAAGTATGCTGTAGAGAAGGACCAGACGATTGTGATCAGCGTTGCGATGGCTATGAGAGACCCCAAGGTATGGGGCGAAGATGTAAGCTTTTCCCCTTTCCTGTGGCATCGACACTCAACTTACCAACACCACGGTATAGGCGGACGAGTTTAGGCCCGAGCGCATGCTGGATGGCAAGTTCGAAGCACTACCTGTTAGTTGCCTTTCGTTTTCAATTGCATCGGTTGTATTGACATCCCGCAGCCCAATGCTTGGCAGCCATTCGGTCACGGCATGCGCGCATGCATCGTAAGTGGCATTTAATTGCGCATATATCCGCCTAATGTACGGAATTCCGAAGGGCCGTGCGCTTGCCTGGCAAGAAATGATTATCATCCTCGCTCTCATCTTCCAACGCTTCGACCTCGTCATGGACGATCCGTCGTACGAGCTCAAGCTCAAGCAGACGCTCACGATTAAGCCGAAGGACTTCCACATCCGCGCACTGCCGCGCAAGGGGCGCTCTATTCCGCTTGCGACTTCCAGTTCCTCGCTTCACAAGGCGCGTCTCGGCAGCCCGGCGCAGCCGACTAATGCGACAGTTCCCGTGGGTTCGGAGCCACGGCAGCAGCTTTACGTCTTATATGGATCGAATACGGGCACGTCGGAGACGTTCGCGCAACGTGTGGCGAGTGATGCATCTGTTCATGGTGCGATCAGTTATCTCTGGTTGGATCTCTTGGCTGACAGCGAACAGGCTTCCGTGCCACGATGGGAACACTGGACTCGTTCACGGAGAAACTGCCCACTGATGGACCTGTCGCTATCATCACCGCTTCGTTTGAAGGTGGGTTTATCCGCCATTATTTCTAAACTAACGTCCCCTTAAATCTGCGCAATCAGGCGAGCCTGCTGACAATGCCGCACACTTCGTGGAGTGGCTGAAGAGCCTCAAGGGCCAGGAGCTGGCGAATGTCAGCTATGCTGTATTTGGCTGTGGTAACCGCGACTGGGTCCAGACCTACCAGCGTATCCCCAAGTTGGTTGACAGCACGCTGGGGGAGCGCGGAGCGAGGCGTCTGCTTGAGGCCGGAGCGGGCGACGCTAGCTCGGCAGAGTTCTTCGAGACGTTCGATGACTGGGAGCACAAGTTATGGGGGACGCTCTCCAAGGTATGGAAAATATCCCGCGGATTCGTACACATTTATCCCTAACGACTGAGGTCACCGTAGGTCTACAAAGCGACCCTGGGCGAAGTTCAAGATGCCACCCAGGTCTCACACCTGGCAGTAAAGACTGTTGACGCTGGCACGTACAGAGCATCTGTCTTACGCCAGCCTGATGCCGCATTGGGTACTGTCGTAGAGAATAGACTTTTGACTGCCACTGGAGTCCCCCCGAAGAGGCATATCGGTAAGAGACCCTGAAAGAAGCGCTCTTTTCATGCTAAACTGTTACAGTCTTCGAACTTCCGGAAGGTATGGCCGCTCATGCGGGAGATTACCTTGCTATGTACGTGGGCACATTTTGGGATCAGCAAATGGTACCTCACAGTCTGCAGCTTGCCTTCCAATCCGATTCGCGATGTCCATCGTGCGATTGCACGGTTCGGCCTCTCTGCCGAGCAAGAGGTATGTATATTCATACTCCAGTTTAAGCAATCTGATTGTGGAGTCTGGGTAGATCGTACTTACATCTTCTGGCCCCACGCCGTTGCCCGTGGATCGTTCTATCAGCGTCTCTGCTCTCCTATTGGGCTATGTGGAGCTTTCTCAGCCTGCGACGTCGCGTGACCTGCGCATCCTCGCGTCAGCTGCGGGTGCTCCTGCGGAGGCTATCCAAGAGCTCGTGTCCTCGTACGCGGAGAAGGTGCTGTCGAGGCGGATCAGCGTCCTGGATATTTTGGAGGAGTATCCGAACATCAAGCTGCCATTTGAGACGTTCCTGACAATGCTTCCCTCTATGCGTGTCCGCCAGTATTCCATCTCGTCGTCTCCGCTTTGGGACGCTCAGAAGGTCACCCTCACTGTCAGCGTCATCGACGCGCCGTCCATCGCAGGCCGCAAGGAGTCGTTCCTTGGTGTGGCGTCGACCTTCCTCGGTGGTCTTCGCACGGGGGACAAGGTACAGATCGCTGTCCGGGCCTCCAATGCCGCATTCCGCCCTCCTACGGACCCTATGACGCCGATGGTCATGTTCGCAGCAGGCTCCGGGCTAGCCCCAATGCGCGGGTTCCTCCAGGAGCGCGCGATGCAGAAGAAGGCCGGCCGCGAGGTTGCGAAGTCCCTGCTGTTCTTCGGCTGTCGCTTGCCCAAGGAGGACTTCCTGTACTCCGACTCCGACCTGAAGGAATGGACCGAGCTCGGGATCGTTGACGTGCGGCCCGCATTCTCGCGGTCCCCCGGGGACTCGCGTGGGTGCAAATACGTGCAGGAGTGAGTCGTCCTTGTCCTTGTGTTGTTGGTATTGGGTTCATGTGTTGACGCGATGACTGGTACAGTCGTGCTTGGCTGGACCGCGAGGAGATCGATGAGGCGTTCCATGCGCATGCCAAGGTAGGCCTTATCGCGGGATGCTCTCCCTCGGACCCTGAGTTATCTGCCTGCAGTTCTACACCTGCGGCTCGAGGAAGATTGCGCAAGGTATCAAGAACAGTCTTACGAAGCTCATCATGGAGAAGCAGAATGTCGACGAGGCAGAGGCTACGGCTATGTTTGGACGCGTCATTCAAGGCCGCTATGCAACCGATATCTTCGAATGAGTCCTTGTTGTTGTTTGTTGTTTTCTTCACATTGGCTTCTTGGATGTACAACATTGTCTGGTCAAGAATCATGAATTTGAACCCATGTTATTTATGTACTCTTTTGGTCCAGTAGAGGCCCGACCATGAGGATTCGACCAGTACCCCTGATTCTCTCGAAGACAGCACTGCTGGGATTCAAGTCGGACTTTCGCTGCGCCTCGTGTATAAGGCATGTTTCTGCTTCTATGTAATATAGCCATATCCGACCTCTTCTTTTGTCAGCGGGAAGTATAGCTTGGGACAATCTTCGCGGGCAGACCTGGGCAGACGGTTGAGCTGGCCAGGTTCCTGCGCTGGCTCCCTACGAGATGCATCGCGACTACTGCGTCGGGATCTTGCACACCTTTGTCTTGACAGGATCAGTCTTATAAGGCCTTGGACGTGATTGTCGTACCAAGGCTGATCAGTGGTATTGAATGTCCGACACGACATATGCAGAGTTTGGTAGCTTGGTTGCTGCCTTTCGAACCATCGACTTCTTGCTTCTGCCGCGATAAACGTCCACGCCTCCTACGGCCTGTGTGCATCGTAGAATTCGCAATGTGCTCGCTGACTTGGTGCTGGCGGCCGCGGATGATTTTCGTTCCACTTTAGCAGTTCATGATCCACGGTTCACGAAAGGCACTAGGATACGACTGACAGGTGACCCCTGAAAGGCCTTCTCAACGGGGTCTTCTAGGGGATGTCGTAACCTATGCTTGGGTGTGTAAGTGCCATCAAGACTACGCACTAACCTATACTTCTTATGGTCGTGCTGGGAGATTGCTGCGCTGATGTCGCATCTGAGTACGCATGAACACAGACACCATTCAAACGCTGTTGGTCTTGTGAGGGGGGGGTATTGCGAGGAGATAATTCTGGAGAACGTTCGGGGGGGTTCATTTATTCAGTCGCGGATGTGAAATTCCGGAAGAACCTATACACAGCTAGCGTCGATCCTCTCAAATCGGCTTAGCAATTTTTAGCCGCATGAAATACAACTCGGCAACTAGTTTGTATTGCCCCGGATTGGCATTGATATCAGCTAAATCGTTTTAATTCGCATGAGCACACGAGAGAGGAGCCCTTAGAAAATAGATAAAGCAGAGGGGAAACAACTGCCTGCCTATCGCCTCGTTTTTTCCCCACACACAGCCGCTCTACACGCGCACACAATGGAGCCGCAGTGGACAACGCTCGAAGAGTCAACCTCCATCTCGCAAGTGGGCGAACCTTCATCGTCGAAGCGAGCACCACAAAAGCGCCTCCCGGCAGCCGGGAAGACCCTAGTCAATGGTGAGTGGTTTGTTCTCACGCCACCATCGCGTGCATACATTGACCTTCCCTTACAACAGAGCTCTATGCTCTCCATCCGTATCCCCCGACTGAGCTTAAGGAAACATACCTCAAGCGGATCAGAGCCCTCCCGGGATGCGACTATTACACTCTTGACAAGCTCAACCTTCTTCTGTACTCTCGGCGCGTCCGCAGCGGCCTTGCGGGCAACGGCGGGCGACAACTTGATGTGCACCAGCCAACGAGACAAACTACAAGCGATGACATCTGTATGTCGGTCATCTCATGTTCCAATCAGGCTTGCACTGAATGAAATTTGCAGTGTATCCTTCTTTCAGAAAGCAGACGGGCGTTGTGTCCAAACTGGAGGTGCTCATCTCGGAAAAGCCACGTGCCAATGATACTTTGATCAAAATATGGGCCAAGAGACTGGATGTAGAGGAAGATGATGTCCTGACTTGGGTTGAAGCATGGAGAGCTGAGCATGTATGCTGTGCCCCTTTTCTGGTAGCTTGCAATTGCTCTGATACCATAATGTGCAGGAGGAAGCAACATCCAGTGTAGAACCTGCAAGACAGTCAGCTCCAGTTGCCCATCTTCCCACACCGGGGTCATCACGCTCACCAGAGCCCCTATTTGTGCACATTCCTCTTGCAGCCAAACAAGAGCTGTCAGCACTACTGACTCCCTCGGAGCCATTCTTTGAACACGGTATGCCTTCCATTTTTAACCTCTGACCACTTCTTGTATTATTCACTTGGACCCCGAAGGCATACCTTCGAAATCTTCACCCACGGACGAGCTGCGAAGATTTATTCGGTCGTTGCCTACTGTTGATGTGCCGGATCTCGAACCACCCGACTTCGAGAATGCCTCGGTCGAAGTCATCAATAAATGGTTTGATGGACATACAGAGAGGATGTCGATGTTCCTGCGGCACGTAGAAAGTGGGAGGTACAAGCGATATGGGCTCAAACCGTCGTTTCTGAAGACATCGCGAGAGTCGACAAAGCAGGAGGAAACAGGTGTGCCATCACGATTCGATCAGCGTATCGGACCACCATCGCCTAACCTCGTCCGCATTGTCCGCTCAGATGGGTAGATCCAGACAATAATGCCCCACGTCATCTCATCACGCTCTTGTTCGATACTGTCGTTCTTCTGCCTCGCACGTTTTATACCTCGTGGATCATGTTCTACATGTTACATGCACCCTCCTTTTTCGTCCTAATCAGACAAATACATTATCGAGTGTCGTGAAACATGCACTAACGGTCGGTTAGGAAAGTCACCGATCGTCATAGTTTTGTCTTCTGTTCGTCCCCGCTATCCCTCTTCTTATCCTCCGCGCGTCGCAGCAGCTTGTGCATGAGCTCGACCCACTCGTCCACCCCGCCCTCGCCGACCCCACGCACCCACTCGTCAGCCTCTCCTGTATGCTCCAGCTCCCGCCACTCCGTGCGCATCGCGTCTCGCCTGTGATACAAGTCGCGCATCCACTGCGGCACGCGCTCCGGCACGCCCGCAAACACATGCAACTCGTCGCGGTAGTCGTACTGCTCCTGCGGCACGAACACATGCCACCGCACCGCGATCTGCTGCTCGTCCGCGCCCGGCCCGAGGTGCGCCCGCAGGTCTTCGTAGCGCGCAACGACGCCAACCGCCTCCCGCGTCGCATCGATGGTGTCGGGGTGCGCGAACGCGTGCAGCACGGCGCGCATCTGCGCCTCCATGAGCGGCAGCGGCGCGACGCCCTTCAGCAGTCCGAGGAACGCAAGCCGGCTTGGCGGGACGCCCGCGAGCGGGAACAGATGCCGCGCGAGGGGGAAGAGGTGGTACGTCGAATTGTACAGCACGCGAGGCAGCGGCGGGGTCGGGGGCGGCACGGCGAGGCGCAGGAGTGTGGGGGACAGGTAGGGCTGCTGGTGCTGGTATCCCGTCGCGAGGATGCAGTGGGCGATGCCCTCGTCGACGCTGCCGTCCTCGTAGCGCACGCGGCCGGCGCCCGCGTCGAGGAACTCGGCGACGCGCCCGCGCCGCCTGTATGCGCCGCCGTCGGTGTCCTCGCGGATGCCGTTCGTGACGGAGTGGACGACGACGCACGCCGCGGCGCGCATGTCGCGGGCGATGTCGGTCCCGCTGGGCCCGCCGCCGACGACGAGCACGGTGTCGCCAAAGTTCTCGGGGCGGCGGAACCACGCCGAGTGCGTCGCCTTGCCCCGCGCGCGCCAGGCGTCGAGCCCGGGCGTCGTCGGCCAGCGCGGGAACCGGTAGTGTCCGTTCGCGACGATGAGGAGGTCGTACTGGCCCTCCTCGCCCCCGCCCACGCGAACGTTCCATTTCGAGCTCTCTGGGAGCCAGTCCGCGTTGAGGACTGGAGTGCTGAGCCGGAGGTGCTGGTCGAGCTTGTAGTGTGCGGCGTAGTCGCTGAGGTACTTCTCGACGACGGCTGCAGTTGGGAAGAGCGCGGTGGAGGGTGGAAAGAGGAAGGACTCATAGCACATGAGCGGGTGGGGGAGGTTGGTCGTGAGCGAGTCGTAGAGCGGCGTGATGGGGGGATCGTCAACGGGGGGTGCAGGTACCCTTGCGTCGCGTTAGTTTGCGCCAAGTTGTGCATCGGGCTCAACACTCACCAGATACCGCCTACCTTCTCGCGCTCTTCGAATGCAGTGGGGACCCAAAGTCCATCTTTGTATTGCGGGGTGTCCATAATCATTTTGAGGGCACAGAGCCCGCCGGGGCCTCCGCCGACGATGCATATCTTCTTGACTGAATTCTCATCGTCGAGTCTCAAGGACTCGAGCGCTGCGTCTGCATATCGGCTGATTAGCAGACATGAGAACGCCAGAGGGAAGAAGTGCTGCACTATGTACTCGGCAGAAGGTCCATGATCGATCAGGTCAGGGGCTGTTGCGGGGTGTCCGCTCGTGGGTTGAGAGCCGCAAGCGATAGCTGCACGACGCCTGCGAAGAGGCGGAATATATAAGAAGACGGAAAGACTGGGCTATCGAGGTCTCGGGTGAGCTGGGCGTTGCGTAATAGAACCTGATTCTCGCGCCCGAGGCCGGAGTCACGTCTCTGCAGTGTACATATCGCACTCTTCTATCAACGATGGAGGGGACTCGTTCGGCACCGAACACTCACCAGTGAACACATTTTCCTGTCATGTCTCTATGCTTGCCGTACGGTGCTGTGTAGGAGATCAGGGTGCTGGCCTGCGCGGCATGCCTTCAAGCATATAGGTACGCACTGATTGAGATTCCTGTTTATCGCCAAGCTACTTCTGTCTCGGGGCTATGTGCAGGCCGATAATCCCGACAGACGTAGTTCAAGTCGAGCCCTTCCCAAATCGGATCGTGCTCTAGAATCCATATCCAGGGGACGCAGGCAAGGAAGTCGCCAGACGTTGGGCAATGGGGGTGCGTGACGCGTCGAGGATGTTTATGTACTGTTGGCGTGGGCACGGCCTGCAACTGTAAATGCAGACAAACCTGTACCTATGCATCGACATTGCCACTGAGCGTCGAAGGAAGAGTCAAGCTGAGAAATTGAACCACACAGTGAGGTTGTCGGGATCGGAGTGTAAGGCGCACGGTGAGGGTTGCGGACATTGCCACGGCGGATGGTCTGCTTCCACTGCCCGTTACTCGGATAGTCTTGTTCTGTCAAGGTCACTCTTTCCAGCGATGAGCCTTTCTACCGTGATAGTAATACTGACCATTTGCTGCTATGCGTTCGTCACAGATATTCAGAGCGGATCGTCCCTGGGCCAATGCGCCGATGATGTCATAATTATCTCGTGCACAGGCTCACGTTCTGTAGTACGCCTTCTCTTATCGACTATCCACAATGCTAATGTGCTCCTATTATATTCCCTAACCATATTACAAGTGATATGAATAAACCTAGAGCTCTGCGTGAGCCACGTTCCGCATTTGGAAGCTGGTGTCCCATAAAAGGTAGCTTGGCTGTCGTGTGGCTGACGATTATCGCGGCTGACAGTCTGAACTGGGGTTTGGTGTCAGCCGCGAGGCTGACGGTCTCAAATACGCATAAATAGCCCGCTTCCTCGTAGCGTGAATATGCATCGCACCTCTCTCCTGCTCTTCCACCATCTCACCGTGTCTTACTCAGTCAGCCTTGTCAGCCTCTGCTCGCACATCTCTCCTAGTCTTGTCGTCTGTTCCTCGTTTATGCTCTTGACCTCTCGTAGTTCCCTCGCCACCTGCTTCTCGTCGTATGTCTTCAATTTCTCGCAGTTCTTTCGCCACCTGCTTCCAGTTGTGGTTGTCTATACTCTAGTCGGCCTCTTGTCTCTCTGTCGTCTTCGATACCCCGCCGGCATGCCTTCTCTCTTGATCGGTACACTGTACGTCACACCCCACCTTGCACTTTCCTAGTAGTCACGTATACTCGTCAGCTTCGTCTTGTCTCGCCCACTGTATTTAATTCAAGGTGAGTCTCGAAGGTAAGTCTCAATATAGATAGGACATCCCCGCTGTGACATTCCCGAGGCCCATCATGTCAACCCCAGGTGCGCCCATTGTTGCCTTGCATATCATCAAGAGCTGACTCGTCTCGCAGGTAGGTTTGCTCGAGGTGGGTCCGCTTTCCCCAGGGCTATCCCATCTCTCGTGCTTCGCCAGAAAATACCAGAACACTCCCGTTGTTCTGATATTTTCTCTCGTTCACTGCCTTCCTTCGTACATTTCGTCCTTCCTGGGTTACTCTCTAGTACCATTCCGCTGTCGCTGCCCTTTCCTTCTTCTTCTCTTGTCCCGAACTGCAATCATCCTGCTGCTTATATCTTCTTGCAGTCCCTGTGTGTTTTCGTCTTCTCCATTTTCTTCTACACCATGTTGCTTCCCCGAGGATGTCACCCAACAATCATGTGACGCCTTTGCAGTCTGTTCCCCGAGGGCGGGCATTGCCCGGGCGCGGACCTTTTCGAGGTCCTCGGGATAAGTAACTCCCGTGTCTCATAGACCGGGAGCGAAACCAGCACGCGCCGAACTTCTTCAGCAATTTAACATATGCTCCGCTTACTCACGCTGTGTGCTCCAAGTCACTGAAACTATACAATGAAGAATCCCAAATGGATACATGAACACGTTGATACATAACTCACTCGACGTGGAAATCGAGGGCCACCGCAGCCTCTCCATGCTCCTCCTCCCACTCGCGCTGCCAGTCAGCCATGCGCGCCATGAGATCGGCCCACTCGTCCTCAGTCTGCACGCCCTCGAGCCACCGGCTCTGCTCGCCCAGCGCCTCCACGCGCTTCCACGCGCGCGCGAGCAACATCGAAGCCGGGCGTGCCGTGCGGCGCCACGGCTCGACGTACTTCTTCCCGTCGTCCGGGAGCACGCCGCGCTTCTTCAGGAACTCGACGAGCGCGTCCTGGTAGTCCTGCGCCTCCGTGTCCCCGTCGAGGAGCCGGTGGCCGATCAGGTACGGGTCGTACCCGCGCCCGCGCAGGCTGTCCTCGCGTGCGAGCAGCTCCGCGAGCATGTCCTCGCGCGGGGGGAGGAGCGACGCGTTCGCGAGCGCGTGCGCGATGAGCATGCCCTGCGCGTTGTCCGACGGGCAGTTCGCGATGAGCACGGGGAGCCCCACGAACGCGAGCGCGGTGGGCGGCAGCTCGGGCGCGAGGCTGAAGATGTGCTTGTGCAGCGGGAAGATGTAGTGCAGGTTGTTGGTGAGCGCGCGCGCGGTGGAGGAGTTGACGGTCGGCGCGGGGTCCGTGTGCAGCGTGGACGCGTGCGGCGCGCTCAGGAAGGGCACGCGGTTCTCGTAGCCGGTGCCGAGCAAGACGGTGTCGATGTCGGAGAGGGTTGTGCCGTCGGCGAAGACGATGGCGTCCGGGGTGAAGTGCGAGATGCGCGGCTTGCGGATGACTCGCGCGCCGGGCGTTGTGTCCTTGTCGTCGCTGATAGATTGGTACGCCTGCTGTGGGGTCAGTACGGGGTGCGTAGTCTACATTGCTGCTCACTCACCACCCGAGCGAGAGGGCTGACTTGCAGGGCTATATCACGGCCGCTGGCGCCCGCGCCCACGATGACCACGTTCTGGCCCGCGTATTTCTGGGGTTCGCGGTAGTATATGGAGTGCAGTATTTCCCGCTGTGGTCGTCCAAGTGGGGTATTTGCCAGCCACTCCTCTGTGCCATTCCACGCTGGTACACACGGAAAGTGGTTGTGTCCGTTCGCGACGATTAGGTGGTCGAATGTGCGCCTCAGCACATACTCGTCCTCCGCGCCCCCCAGATGTGTGTGCACCTCGACATGCCAGTCGCCCTCCGGCGGGTGTGAGTGCCAGTTCGCGGAGACGACGGTGTGGTTCAGGCGGATGTACGGTGTCAGGTTGTAATGCACCGCGAAATCCTCGTGGTACTGCTGGAGGGCGGCCCAGCCCGGAAAGAGCGCCGTGCCTGGTGGGAAGGTGAAGTTTGGATACGTCATCGTCGGGTGCGGGGTGTTCACGTGCAGCAGCGGGTACAGCGGCGTCTCGGGCAGCTCAGGGGGGCCCGTCGGTGCGCCTGGCGGGTCGGGCAGCCACACCCCGCCCACGGAGCGCCGCTGCTCGAAGAGGACGATCTCCCACCCGGCGCGCGTCTCCTCGGGAAGGTCGAGCAGGGTCTTCAGCGCGGCGAGCCCGCCGCTGCCGCCGCCGACGATGGCGATTGACTTGGTCACCTCCGGAGGCGACGGTGCGAGGGCGTCGTGCCCATGTATGGCGGACTGTAGTGTGAGCGGGGCCTCCGGCCTGTTCCAGAGGGCCCACGGGAGCAGAGACAGGACGAGCTGGCCTAGGTGTACCATCGAGAGTACGAGGGAGCGGCAACGCAGTCGTATCGAGAGCAAGCCTGTCAAGGAGCCTGCTGTCTTCCGAGAATCATTTGTATATAGGAAGTTCGGCTGCCGCGGCGGCCACGATCCTTCCACGCTACAGGCAGTGTCTCGGGGAAGTTGTGCTGAGCAATAGGGTGCGATTCTATGGCCGAGATCGCTCCTGTGGGAAGTGATATTGCGCCATTGACCGTTTTGGAGACCTTACCAGAGTGGTATAGCGGTCAATAACGCACAAGCGCCTGCCGATCACGCAAGCCAAGGCTCCAGAGCAAATGAGGGTAACTGCAACTGGAGGGGTATGTTTGATGCAAAATACAAAACGACACAGCATTATCTGCCCAGTCTCACAGGAACTACAGAATGAGACATTTGTGCCAACGTGCGACCTTGGTTCGCGGGAAGATGGTGGGTCAAATTACTCGACTGAGAGACAGGGGACCAGACGGATGGAGCAAGGTTTGGCTGAGACTGTCGTCCAGCCTGATGGGAAGGAGTTCTTAGCTTTTACCATTGGAGTGAGTGCACTGCACGTCGTTAACGCATTGATATCTCAGAGATCTGCTGCCATCTACAAGCGGTCTAGCCAGTCAATATGGAAATTGGATTCAACAATTGATTGTTGCGCGGGAGTCGAGCGGCAGACGGCGTAGAAACGATGGGACATATTGCGATATGGGTGCACGTGGGCCAAAACGAGGAGAAGGGACTCCCACAGTCTCCCACAGTGCCAAGCTGAGGTGTATCAAAGAATGCTATCCAATGGAGAGGGGTCCATTAGCATAGGTAGCTCACATGAGGTAGTCTGAATCGAAGTAATCTTCGTAAGCAAAGCGATCCACTTTTTATGACCGTTCTCAGGCTCTCCCGATCAACTAGGCCATCATCTGCGATCTGCTGGCGGGAGACTATGAATAAGCCAGTGAAAAGGACAAGAGCCAGGGGGTATTTGAATAGATTGAGCACATGTGTGAGGGTTGGCAGGCAGGGCATCCGGAACGGACGTTGGACTTGTGAGAACGACGCCGGAAAGACCACCGGCAGACAACGTCCTCAATGGACAGGGATTAATGGGTGATTAGGTTAAAAACCGGTGGGGTTACCTACGGCGCACTGACCACGTGACCCGGGCCGGCAGCGACGCTTGCCCGACGTACCCAATAGTCAACAGGACTACGTATACGCTACCTAGAACATACTAACAGATAGGTATGCGCAGCGGCAACAATGCGTGCAACACTCATCTCGCACATCCATGCTGCTCTATGAGTGCTTGAGAATGCAGATATACTGGCAGGAGCATACAGAAACATGGAATGACATCTGAAAACTCCGTGCAAAGTAGATCTGACAAAAACGGAAGGTATATTACTCGATAAGGGCAAACGCATGCTACCGGCGTCTCGTGATCATTGTGGCATGCACTCGACGCTAGTCGAGGACGCATCTGACTTGAATCACCTGCAGTTCATGCCGAACAGAATATACAGAACAGCGTGTCAGACCTCTTGTTTCGCAATCTGCCACCTGTGACGTCGAGCATCTTCCTTGTTGACAGCCTGCACTGTTAAATGAAGTCATGGAAGACTCTGGGATCATCGCGCGCAGGAGATCGCGTTGTGGCTGGTATATATACGAGAGACAGGACCCTTCATGCGCTTTCGCTCCTCTACTTTCCCGTCCGCCATCGTACCTTCTCTCTTATACAAGTCTAGCAGCAAGCAGCAAGTACTGCCGACGAGATTCAGAAAATCCACTAGGACGACCATGAGATCCACATTGTGATCAGCGTCCGCAAGACGCGCTGACATGAGTTAGTGCTTACAGCGAGGCGGGATTAAGTTTACTAACGGATCAGGTCAGCCACATTTACGTCCTTTGAGCGGCGCTCACAGCTTGGCGCCCTTGTGGTCCGGTCCCGTGCAATATATAGCAAATTGACAAGTCGAGACGGCACTGTCCATGTGTCTTTTTCCTTCGACCACATACATCCACATAAAATGTGGGTGCACAAGCCGGCTAGCGATGCATCAATCTCCGCCCGTCGGTTCGGAGACGGTGGAAACATCTGCGGTACCCAGCAGAGTCATAGTCCCAACAAGACTGAATATGAGAACAAGACTGCATATATGCGCCCGCAAACCGGCTGGTAGAATATATCGGAGACAAGGAACGCGTCAGGGTGACATAGAGCTCGACGCACCCTGCCATCGGATAGTGGGAAGGTACGTCGGCCCTTAAATTGTATAGTCAACGCCTCGAGGTAGAGCAGGCAAGGACATTTTGAATATTCTGCCTAGCAGTAAGGCATCGCATCTGGCTTCATATTAGAGCTAAATGTGAGCTACACGTCCAGGCGGGGCTTCAAAAGTGGCGAGGACAGCGCAACTCTATCTTATGCCCACAGCATTCGTGGCTTGTGGAACCCGCTAGAATTTGGGAACCGACATACTCGCGAGCCTCCGGTGGAAGAATGCAGTGTTCGGGACAGCAAGCGACAGAAGGAATGCTAAAGGCGAGTTAGCGGTAACCGCCTAATGGACACATATTTTATCTCAGCAGATGCTCCGTTACTCGGTGGATAGTTGTGGTGAAGCGTAGCGTCGGATAGGGGTTGGCCAAGAGTCCCCTGGTCGACGATGATGCTGTGTGTCGGGACTCGGGGAGCATCGTCGTCATCTCCGGTCGCCTGTTCCGGCGCTTTGCACCACCTAAGCGGGCTGAACCAATGACGCGTGATGTCGGTGCCTTGGGGCGGACTCTAAAATTGGCAACACAGGGTAGGAGACAGGCCGCCACCACCGATTGTCCAGCGCGTGCGTTTCCACACTCAGACTGCTGTCAACCGCGCCAGCTTCCGTTCCTTACTTTTCTTCTCGGTGGATTCCATAAACAGGTGATGTCAGAATATTTTTCTCCCCTTTAAATTTCGCCCTGTATCTCATCTTGTCTTCAACCACCAGCCGCACACCCAATTCTCTCCGTTCACGACTGGTCACGATCACAACTCTGAGCTGACAGTTTTTTAACATGTCGGTATACTCAACATACGCCATGTTGGACTCCCACCTGAGCAACACGCTCGTGAGCAGGTCGTCCAGCGGCATATCAGACGCGTCAAGCGCTTCCACTGCGACCTTCGTGACTGCTCTCGTCTTCAATGCGATAGTCTTTGGCGGCGAGCTCGCTGCCTTTACACTCCTTAGACCTTACTTCCCTGCCATATACCAACCGCGCACATACGTACCTCCGGAGGAGTAAGTGTTTGTAGCTCCTATCTGTATCGAAGGGGAGGGGGGGCTTTATCGCCGCTGCGTATCGAGGGCGTGAATGCGTTCTAACGTGCTCATTTCACAGAAAACGTGCAAAGAATCTCACATCAAACATCCTACTATGGCCGTACGTGGTTGTAATGGCGAATTACGGCGACATCAAGGCTGTCAATGGACTCGACGCCTACTTCTTTGTGCGCTTCTTGCGCATGATGGTCCGCGTCCTGATTCCTATCTGGCTTATTTCGTGGATCATTCTCCTTCCTGTTGACTCAGTCGGCACCAGCTCAGGCACGAGTGACAGTCTGACCCAGTTCGAATTTGGAAACATCGGTAGGCACCAGCAATCTCGTTTGTGGGCCCATTTAGTGTTGGCCTGGGTCTTCACCGGTACGTACTATATTGACGTTGGATATCGTACAATTCTCTCATGACCAGCAGTCTGGATTTGGTGGAACATCAATCACGAAATGAGCCACTTCGTGACGACTCGCCAGCGATGGTTAATCGACCCTGCGCAAGCGTCCTCAGCGCAGGCGAATACAATACTTGTTACTGGAGTTCCGCAGCGGTATCTTACCGAGTCCGCGCTCAAGGAACTCTTCTCGCATCTTCCTGGCGGCGTTTCCAAGGTTTGGCTCAACCGGTGAGTACGTTCATTTGATTGTGGGAGTGCACTGCTGATTTTGATTGTAGGGACCTCAAGGAAATGCCCGACTTGCATGAGCGCAGGGTGACGGCATGCAAAGTCTTGGAATCTGCTGAGACGTCGCTCATGAACACTGCCGTCAAGATCCGGAACAAGCAGCAGAAGAAGGCGGCAAAGGCAGCGAAGAAAGCTGGTGACAAGAGTGGTGATACCGATCGGAATGTTTCTAGCGACGGGCAGCCCTTGACTGCCCCGAGCGTCGCCGAGACTGATAGCGGAGAGGCGAACCTTGCTGAGAAGCTTGTCCCGCGCAAGAAGCGCCCCACATATCGTCTACCCATTTTGTCCTTCCTCCCCTCGCTCCCCCTGATTGGCAAGAAGGTGGATGCCATCGAATGGGCCCGCGAGGAGATTGTCATCACGAACACCGCCTTGCGCGAGAGCCGACGTGCCCTCGCGAGGGAGGTCACGCGTACGACGTCTCGCGCTTTCGATGGGCGCTCCCAAGAGGAGCACTACAATGAAGAGAACCCCGACGCGATGAAGCCGGACCCGAACAGCTCGCAACTGTATCCGCCGCTCAACTCGGCCTTCGTGCTATTCGATCGGCAGATTGCAGCACACATGGCGGCGCAGACACTCACCCATCACGCGCCATACCGTATGGCCGAGAAGCACATTGGTCTCGCGCCAGACGATGTCATCTGGAGCAACCTCAACATGAACCCCTATGAGGCGAAAGTCCGGACGGCGATCGCTTGGGGCTTCACGCTTGGCCTGATCATTCTCTGGGCGTTCCCTGGTACGTCTTTGTCGTTTCCAACGCTGTGAGGTTTTTAACGGGCGAATACAGTTGCTTTTATCGGTGCGGTCAGCAACATTCACTCGCTTTGCGCTACGTATGGCTGGCTGGCATGGGTTTGCAAACTGCCGCCGGTCATCGTCGGTATCATTTCCGGTATCTTGCCCCCTACACTGTTGGCGGTCCTCATGATGCTCTTGCCCATTGTCTTGCGGCTGGTTGCGCGTTTCGAGGGCAAGACAACGCGGTCGGCTGTTGAGCTGAGTCTGATGACGCGCTACTTCCTGTTCCAAGTGATCGTAAGTGGCAATATGCTTGTGCGAGCCCCCGGTGAACTGATGGCCATCGTAGCACTCGTTCTTGATCGTTACACTGTCTTCTGGTATCATCGCAGCGCTGCCGCAACTGGTGGAGGATACAAGCTCAATCCCTGCGTTGCTCGCGAATAACCTGCCGAAGGCGTCCACATTCTTCCTCACGTGCGTCGATCTCTGCGGTGACTACGTGATATCCAGTTCGCTAACTCGTTGCATAGGTACATCATCCTACAGGGACTGTCTGGGACGGCATCAGGCTTCCTTGTGATAGTCCCTCTGGCCATCTACTATGTCAAGTTGTTCCTGATGGGAAGTACCCCTCGCTCGATTTACAACATCAAGTACCAGTTGCGATCAGTACAATGGGGTACGACGTTCCCGACTACCACGCTACTCGTCGTCATCAGTGAGTTTCAAGCCTATCTGCGCGTATGCATATGTCTAACTTCAGCTTAGCTTTGGCGTACAGCGTCATCTCGCCGATTATCAACGGCCTGGCCGTTGCGACGTTCTTCTTGTTCTATCAATTGTGGAAGTATATGTTCCTCTGGCAGCTCGGACAGCCCCGTGCGACGGAGACCGGTGGTCGGTTCTTCCCTAAGGCCATTCAGCACATCTTCGTTGGGCTGTACTTGCAGCAGATCTGTCTTGCCGCGCTCTTCTTCCTCGCGCAGGATGCAAGCAACATGGCGAGCGCGATTCCCGAGGGCGCGTTGATGATAGTGTTGATCGCATTCACAGTAAGTCCCCGCGACGTGGCGTGTAGGATGTGTCTGACCCGTGATGACCAGGCCTTCTTCCACATTATCATCAACAACTCCTACGGGCCGCTTATTGACTACGTACCGCTCACGCTTGCGGGCCAAGACATCAAGCACAGTGACGAGAACCGCGAGGCGACTGAACAGGCACTCAAGGACAACGCGTCCGTCCACAGTGTGGACGTCTCCCAGCAGGAGAAGTCACACCAGCAGGATGCGTCGGAGGGCTCGAAGAGCGGTCAGACGCGCGCGGAGGACCTCGAGGACGCCGAGCGTGGCGCTCCTGAATCACTAGAGGACAGCATTCGTGGCGTGGACGAGGAAGCAGGGCCGAAGGACTTCTACCACCCGGCGAGCGTGGCGCCGCAGCCGACGATCTGGATGCCGCAGGACCCGCTGGGCCTTGCGGAGGCGGAGGAATCGGTGAACAAGGAAAAGGGCATCAAGGTGTCCGTAAGGGACGCCCTTATGGATGATCAGGGACACGTCGATATCTCGGGGGCACCCCCTGAAGATTAGGTGCTCCGTTCTGGACCTCTCAAGTGCAGGCGGGACAACCCTCGCCTTGTCTCGCGTCGCCTCTGCTATCCTTGTTATTTTTGAGTCTATCATATGTCATAGAGGACTGGAGACCCCGATGCAAGCTAGCAGGGCCCTCTCCAGCGATGGACGTCCGCATTTTTGTATCGACGACTCGTCTGCGTACTCCTAGTTTCCGCCCCTTTTCAGTCGCTATCACATAGCAATTACAGTCCCTATGGTACCCTATGATCTGCCTACACGCCTTCTTTCTTTGTTTATTGCGTGTTCCTAGTGTACTTGTACGTTTGCTTGCCGCGCGTCGATATCCAACATGTAGTTCATAGCACTTAGTTTGCTCATATACCCTTTTCATGTCATTAATTTCATACACCTGCTGCAGAAGAGGGCTTGGCTGTTCTCGTCCACGTGCTAAATATGGCAAAACGCCTTCCCTTCAGAGCGTCGGCCGCCAAGGCTCGATATCTTGGAGCTAGCAAAGGCTTGATCGCGTACGACCAGGTGATTAGCGAGAAGGATATAATCCCGTACATTATACACTCCTGCATCATGCATGAAACCTCTCTCTTCTTCCTATCGCACACCGAGACTGCTGGGGTACACAAAAATGAGCCACACATCTACCTGCAGATTGTGCTGCACCTCCTATCTCATTTTATTCAGGTGTGCTCTGGGGCGATTTTTTTTGCCTGGGTATGAGAGTCACTCCCATTCACTACCATGAATTCTTGAAGGAGAATGCCTGGGCGCGGTCTCAATTGTCATAGCCACCGCCGCGCGCCTCACGTGGGCGTGTCGCGCCGTCTGCGTGGAAGCTGCTCGAACCCGCCACTACTAATTACTTGCTGACTGTACGCCACCCTCTGAGCGCGCCGAAACATATCATCATCCCCGAGCCTAGCTAATTTCTCTGCCCTACTTGCCCGCGTTCAGGCCTACCTGTCTTCTTGGTCGCCACCACTCATCTGACCTCTTGATTGAGGATGTCGACCGGAGGGATGCCTTTACTTAGCGGGCCACCACTAGGGCCTGTAGAGAACGAGCAATCGTGTCGGAAGTGTGACAAGGAGTTCAATATTCTGTTCGCGCGTTCACGGCGATGCAATCATTGCGGTGAGTCTTCCGCGGTCAGCTCTGCATTGATGAGCCGTTTATAACCCGTTCGCGGACGCGGCAGGCTATCTGTACTGTCATTCATGTACCGACTTCCAGGCGCTCATGCCGAGAGGTGGCCCAGAGGCGGGTCCCGGGTACGATGGCGTGCCCGTATGCGCATTTTGTGTGGACAACTTGACCAGTGCGTGCACGCCCTGATCATACATCCGTACTCGGCTGAGCATGGCAGCGGCCAGTCACGGCTGGAGGGAAGAATTACCTCAAATCGTTGCCTCTTGCGAAGCTGAAGAAGTACGCTCACGCATACAACATCACTGTAACTGGCATCTTCGAGAAGAATGACTTGATTGATGCTCTCATTGTAGCACGAGTGCGTTGTTCTGTCCGCCTTTTCTCAGGATGTGGCCTGACTTATAGACATAGGAACCTAACGGTTGTCTACCGCGCGACAATGAGGTGGGTCTATCTGATGTGTGGTTGTATGCAAATGGTGAAGTCTGCTACCCAGGAATGGTACCGCAAGTACTCTGTACCCAACCGCAGGAGCAACCGTCCACGCGGGCTGTTCACGCGGGCTATGGATGCCATGGGGCCGGATCGCCATCCATCAACCCCACAGCCACAACAGCCCCAGGCCCGCCCGCAACCACGACCTCGTACGACGTCGGGTCCAAGCAGCTTCCCTAGACCAGATCTTGACCCTCGCAGGCAGCAGCAGCAACAGCAGCAACAACAGCAACAGCAACAGCAACAGCAGCCGCAGCAGCAGCAACAACAGCAGCATCAACGACGACAACAGCCTCAATACCATCACCCGTCGCCCCCTCCACGGCCACCGCGTTCGCCTCCGTCCGGATATCGCCCACAGCGTGCACAGCCTTCCTTCACGAGCACCCCAGGCCTCAATGTCCCAGGTGGCGGCTCACAGGCTCGCCAACGAGCTCGTGCGGCGTCCACAGGCGCGTCGCCCCGCGTTGCGTCGCCTGAGCCTCCTGTGCCGTCGTTGGACGAGCTCTTGGAGATGTCCGACGACGCGACGGCGCATCTGTCTATTCACACACTTAAGCAAGTATTGTTCCAAAATCACGTCAACGCGCGGCTCGTTGTTGAGAAGAGCGAACTTGTGAGCAAGGTGAAGATGCTTGTTGAGGAGGAGCGGCGGGAGCGGGAGCGCCACGCTCGAGAAGCGGAGGAAGAGGCAGAGGCGGAGGAGCAAATGAGGCGGGAGATAGAGGAGGCCATGCAAAGATCCAGGGAGGAGGCCGAGGAGCGCCAGAGGCGTGCACAAGAATCGCACGTCTCCGAGGCTACCACCCCTGAAGAACCTCTTGAAGACAGAGAGGCCGCGCACATGCAAGTAGACGAACACTCTGTCACGTCCCATAGCCAGGAGCCTGAGGAGGGTCGGAGTTCGGAGGATATGTCCCATCACTCCTCCGAGTCGCAACCACCCCCTCCCCCGCCAAAGCCTGCGGCACCTTCGCCCCCTCCAAAGGTGCTCACCCCGAATGCGCAAGCTATGGCTTCGCGATTGGAACGCACGGGTCTGTGCGTCATCTGCCAAGATGAAGAGGCCAACATTGCGATAGTTGATTGCGGGTACGTAGCGTTGTCCACTACATGTCCCCCTATCGTACTGAAATTGCTGCGTGTGTCAGGCATTTGTGCTTGTGTCGCGCGTGTTCCGAGCTCATAATGAAAGGCACGCGCGAATGTCCGCTCTGCCGAACGCGCATTGTCACAGAGCAGCGACTGTTGAGGATCTACAGGACATGATTGGTTATTGCAGTGCTCGCACACACAGATTGGATTACATTCGTGCTTTGTTCTATCTTGGGGTCTGTGACTATTAATTTTGGATCTGCAACTGGTTCGTCGCTGCTCTCAATATCATGTCACATGTAATATACGTTAGTGTCTTTCAGTGGCAAATGTCTTGTAACGTATATATCCGCAAATATGTATGCTTGAGTTTTTCCTTGTTCTCGTACGGCGCTGGCATTGTTCACTTGGAACAATGCATCAATGCATCAATGCCGGCAGCCATCGGCGTATGCCGTCCCTACATTGACCTGTTGCTCAATCTTGATCCTTGTCTACTTTCATTCTCGTGCATTCACCACACGTAGACATGCCCCCACAGGAACGGCCGGGCTTGCCATCTGCAAGCCACGTCACGCAGCATATTCAATGGCATCAAGAAGCCGCAGGCCTCCCATATCCTGCCACAGGCGGGAATTATATGGGCGCAGGCACGTCGCACCATCCCCTGCCCTCGTCTCTGGACGGCCCTCTGGAAAACCTGCGCACCTACACGTCCCAGCGTCTGGAGGGCCTGGATATCGCCGTCAACGGCATCTCACGCTCTGTGCTTCACGCGCGCGAACAGGCGCACGAGGACACCCTGAAGCTGGCGGGCTGGCTCGAGCGCGCGCACAAGCAACAACTGAGCGCGACGCAGCAGGTCTTCGAGCGCGTGGAGGTGCTGCAGGGCGCCGTCGGCCAGCTGCACTCCCTGCACGGCGAGAATACATTGGCGGGGCGTCTGCAACGCATTGAGTGTGTCTTGCAGGAACTGATGGAGAATATAAACGACCCCGACGCCGCGCGTGAGTTAATATACCTGAGTATATTGTATTTGGGTACGCAAATCTAATTGACGTGCTCAGGCGACGTCGGTTCGTTCTCAACTGGTGCAGTGGCAGCCATTAATACCAGTGCAGACCAGATCGTACCGGCTAAGCAGTTCAAGGATGCTGGTACTGACGCCCATTCGTCGCCCTTAGTGGACATCGAGGTTCAGACTAATGAACCTACGGCTTACACTTCTGGAATATGCAGATGTAGGGATTGATGCCACAGAGCATACTTCGACAGCACCTCTTATACGATTTCAATCTCAAGAAGCTGTGGATATGTCTCCAGATCCAATGGATCCTTGGCCTGTAGCACCTCCGACATCTAGCGGCCCCTCCCAATCTTCTACTGCAATCGACCCCACTCCTTCCGCGACACCATCCGCAAGTGGTCATGTTTCTGCAGTCGCTTCGTCCTTGTCTTCCATGACACATATTCCGCTTCCACGGGGCTCGAAAGGCAAGTCCAAGATGGATACAAACTCTAGAGCTCTTCTCCGGGCTGCTTCGCCGCCTCGGCGGACTAATCCATCACCACAGTCATCCCTTTCTAGTTTATCCTCACTTTCACTCTCTCCTCCCAAGGAGCCGCCATCGACACTACTGCCCCTGTCACTTCCTCTCCCTCGACGGAACCGTGCGCCCCCAACGGGCCCAGTGCAGATGCCAGTGCGGACCGCAAGTTTGCACTCCGAGAAGCGCGCTCTGAGCCGCAGTGTTGGGCAGCCGCGGGGGCGACAGCCGTCTCCGGACCTTGAGATTATTGAGAGGCCCGTGATCTCCGTGCAGAGGGGCAAGACTACAGACGTGAATGCGGCGAGGAAGTCAGTTGAAAGACTCGGCGAAACCCATACCAGTGAGGTCAAAGGCGTAGACAGGCCGCACAAGAGGCGCAAAACCGAAGGCAATACGGTCGACCTTGCCCCGGTAAAACGAAAGCTTGGTCGTCCTCGTAAGACATTGGACGTCGTGCCAGCGATGGCACCGTCTGCTTTGCAGCCTGTCGCGAATTCCTCGAAGCACAATTCAATAAGCCAAAAGCCGAAATTACCCCGTTCTAATGCGCGATGCAAGTGGCCGGAGATGATTGAGGGCGATGCGGCATTCCAGCGCGAGGTGAGTTGCATCTTTGCTTCGCATGTTCAACCCCATAACAGCTCTGGATGCTCGATGCAGTTCGTACAGTGTGATAAGTGAGCTGTATTAAGGCTTCGTTGCTGGCAAATCTAATGCCATTATAGTTGCGATGCGTGGTATCATTTCGGCTGTGTTGGTCTAAATATGAACGACCCACGTCTCGAGAGTGAGACGGAATATACTTGTCCTCCTTGTCAAGTGTCACAGTGCGCCTCATCTTTCTCGCGCGTTGTACACATCTGATGAGACTCTGGTCTCCCTTTTGTCATGTCGTATCCATCTAATTTCTAGGCAAGATCGTAAGTGTCTTGAAGGGTAATAACACAATATGACTGACAAATTGGTGTCTTGGGATTCTCTAGGCGAACGGAGACACATGGATAGTGTACATGACGCGAACTGCGCACGCCCAGACTGTCATTTAGAAGGAACCGCCGAACCGGACACAAAGGAATGGTTTGTGGACCGCATCATTGGGCGGCGTCCGCAGGCAGGAGACAATGTGCGGCGGGCCGACCCGGAATTCTTATGGCTCGTGAAGTGGGACGGGTACGTAGTCCTGCGATTTCCCTTGCTGCACGCACTTGACTGAGCTCACCGCTCGTTCAGCTTCACGGTGAAGGATGCGACTTGGGAAATGCCCGGGAACTTGGGCAGTGCCGCTAGGTATATCGATGAGTTCAAGGTTGCCGCTGAGCTCGAGGGCCACAGCTTGCTTGATTTATGGGAGATTGTGGTTCTGAACGAAGCTCAGATAGCGGGCTGGTAGGTGCTCGCACCTGAACCCATCAGTGCACCGTCGTATTGCTTGGTATAGTATGGTCTTGTAAGTACAATCGCTGCTGTCGTTGTGTCTCGCTTTGCTATTTAGTGTATTCCGCTGTCGCCTTTGGACTATGGCTATCTATAAATCTCTATAATTCTTGGGAGATTGTATCACATTATGATTCGGAATTGAATGCGGATGATGCATGCGATCAATTGCACCGAACGCGCGACGCGTTGACATGCAGACGCCACGACTTCCTCCTAACCTTTCATTTGTATACCTTACAACATGGCCCCAATCCCGAGCACGCTAGATGAAACGACTAGAAAACTCGTCGAGTCGTTGGACAGACGTCGAAAAGATCTGTCTGAGTTCCAGATACAGCGTCTACGGACATGCACAGGCCCGCTGCCTGTCCAGCAGCAGTATGCGGCGGAGCTCCGCGAGGACCTCGACGGATTCGCCCGCCAGGTTGAGGTATGGCGCCCCTGCGTTCGACACGGACATGCTCAGGACCGTCTGATAGAGCCTGGATGTTGCAGTGGACGACCAGCGGACCGAGCGGGACAGGCGCGAGCTGAGGCGAATCGTGGAGGAGTTCCGTGCAGCGTTAGTCAGGTGGGCGTGCACACGGTCCTTTCCCCTTGTATGTGGTCCCATTCACAGCTAGCAGCCTGAAGAAGGACACGCGAGCGGCCTTGCTTGCGTCGAAGCGCGCCATCGACTCGAAGCAGGTCTCGAACCGAGACGAGCTGCTGCGCTCGTCGGCCGTGAGGGAGAAGCAGGACCTGAACGAGAAAGTCACGTACGTACTCGGACTGTGTGCGCCCGGCCGTCCGGCAGCATGCTGAACCGCGGACCAGCGAGGACGCCCTCATGAAGGCGAACACCGACGTCACGGAGGCGCTGCAGCGGACGCTCACGCTCATGCAGGGCGAGCTCGAGAAGTCTGTCCTCTCGACCCAGCTCCTCGGTGCGTCCCGGCGCCGTCTCTCCCTCTCTGTATGCCCCTCACCATAACCCATGACGGTGCGCAGACTCGTCCACCGCGGCGCTCCGCTCGACCCTATCTACGCATGACGTGCTCGACGGCCTGCTGACCACCTCGAAGCACCTCATCACCGCGCTCGAGAAGTCTGACTGGCTCGACCGCATGCTCGTCCTCGCAGGGCTCGTCTTCTTCGTCCTCACCGTCGCCTTCATCCTCAAGCAGCGCCTCGTCGACCGCAGCCTCCGTATCGCGTTCTGGTGGACGCGCTTCCTCCCGGACTTCAGCAGCGACGCAGGCTTGCTCTACGCGGAGGGAAAGCGCGCCGTGAGCAGCGCCGTGTCAAGTGTCGTCGCGACGACGTCCGCGGTAGCGGGCTCCGTGGCCGCTGTCACCGCCTCTGCGACGCCGTCTGCGTTCAATGAAACCACATCTCCACCATCCTCCGCATTCCAAACACCACTCCTGGATACGCTGTCGACGTCTCTGCTTTCAACGGACCTGTCGGAGCCTACGCCAGATCTCGCCTTGTCGCAAACGCCTCCTGCGTCTTCTAGTATGACGGACTCGGGTGTACACGACGAGCTGTGATGTTATAGACAGCGATGCACTATTCTATTTCTCTAACCTGTTGTGGGTCCACGACGCAGTGTTGCCACTTGTGAACGCTGTACGATACGGTATGTATATCTTGACTGCATGTATATTTCACGATTCGGCGCGTGCTGGTTCCGCCCTTACAAGAGCGAGAGGTACTGATCCCGAGGGCTATGAAATAATGAGAAAGCAAACGGCGTGGTACCGCAGATGCGGCGAGAGACACCCGGGAGGTCGCAATGGCACCCTCGACACTCGAGCCTCGAACATTTGAATGTTTGAACGCTGTCGGATGAGAAAGGAGACAGGAGACAGGCTGAATGCGACCCCACAGCCTCACGCTCATGCGGCAGCGCACCGTCTGCCAAACATGCAACACCGCATAATTCAGCCTATTGTACGACGTTTCGTAGAGCAACAAAAGTTACAGCGGAGCAACAGAGCACGGACGCGCGTCTCGAAGATCAGCGACACTCAAACAAATTAATCAGAAGAATCCGGAAGCAAAAACCAACCATCAGCACCGTTTGTCAAACCACACCACCCTCCACTCGACAGCACCATCACCGTCACTCGGCAGCACTACCCACCATCACTCGTCGGCGGGCCTCTCCCCGGCCTCGTAGTTCTTGAACGGGTCCTTCCGCAGCGCCTCCGCCTCAGTAAGGCCCAGCACGTTCTTGTGCGGGCCGACCGCCTTGGGCCTCATCGCCGTAGCAGAAGCCGCGTGCGTCGGCGACGACGGCTGCGCGAGAACGAAGAAAAAACAAATGAAAGTAGCATGATGAGAACGCGCAACGCAGAGCGAGGGGACAGCGCGCCTACCTCCTCGTCGCGGTATGGCGTGAACGCCGGCGTGGCTGGCGCGTCCGCGCCGTCCTCTTCGTCGCGGAACACGACCAGCGCGCTCTTCTTCGCAGCAGGAGCAGGGGCAGAAGCAAGGCTAGGCACAGGCGGCGGCGGCATCTCCGCAGCCGCGCCCGGCTCGGGATCCCTGTACACGGGGATCCGCGAGCCAGAAGCGGCGCGCGACGAACGGCCCGCCGTCCTGAGCGTCGTGCCCGCGGCCTTCCGCACCTCGGGGACGTTCTCCTTGACGCGCGACTTGCGCGTGCCGAGCTCGGGCCACGGCGCGGCGGCGGACGGGTCGTTCTCCGCGTCCGCGCCCGAGGGGTCGACGAAGACCTGCATGCGCCCGTTCGGACGCGGCACGGACGGCGCGGGCGAGGGCGTCGCGAGCTGGCCGGGCGTGCGTGCGGAGCCCGTGCGGGATGCGCGTGTACGGCTCGAGGACGAGGACGAGGACGAGGACGCTTCAGCGAGGGCGCGACGGGTTGAGGATGATGATGAGGCGGAGGGCGCGGCGGGCTCGGGGGTGGTGGTGGCGGCGGCAGCGTTGATGGAGGACATCATGCGTTTCTGGAACTCGCGGTGTTTGTTCTGCAGGCGCTCGACGGGGGCGGCCTTGCGCGCGATACCGAGGAGGTACGCCTCGTCGGCCTCTGCTTTTCTTGACGAGAGTTGAGTACGGCGGGAGACAAGACGCAACACGATGCGGAGGGAGGAGAGGGCGAACGGGCGACTCACCTGCCGGCGCGCTCGAGCACGGTGGCGAACTCCTCGTACAGCAGCGCATGGGCGGTGCCAATCTCATTCACGAGGCAGAACTTGTATATGATGGCGGGCTTCTCGACGTAGCCGGCGTAGAGGACCCAGAGCTTGAGGTAGCGCACGTCGGCGCGCCAGCGGCCGGCGCGGTCGTCCTTGAGGACGCGGGTGGCCTCCTCGAGGAGCTCGAGGAGGCCGGACTCGGCGCTGTGGCCCTGGGGGTAGTTCTCGACGGTCCAGGCGACGAGGCGGCTGTAGGCGTCGAGGGGGTCGGCGTCGGGATCGTCGGGATCGGCGAGGGCGAGGTCGACATTGATGCGGAGGCGGGTGCGGGCGGCGGCGAGGCGGGACTCGCGCTGGGCGTGCGGGGTGGAGAGGATGGCGGAGAGGGCGGTGACGCGGCGGCCGGCGGCGAGGGGCTGGATGTTCTCCTTTGCGGCCTCGAGGAGGTCGCCGTCGACGATGGGGGGCTCTGTGTCGTCGAATACGTCTGCCATAGCGGCGGTATTGGTCGTGGCGGTGGGAAAAGGGGGGCGTGCGCGCGGGTGGCGCGGGGGCGCGAGAACAAAGGTTGAACCTGCAATAACGTGACCGTGTTGCCGGATCAGAGCGATAAATAAGAGCCGGAAATTGAATTGTGTACGCTTGGTCTCAAGTATTAGCGCTAGTTAACCGTACCCCAGTCTGAAGGCTGTATCTGCAGCCAGATGGAGACGACGAGTATAGCTCATTAGTGTCGAGGTTCCTGTCCGTTTGGGAAGGTAGCTTGCTCGTTTTGGACGCTTGCGACTTTTGGTTCTTTCACACCGGCCCTGTATGCCTTATAAACTGGCCTCGATCCCGGGAGGTGCAAATTCCCTCTTCCCCTCTTCCCCTCGTCTTTTTCTCGCAAAGCGGCATGGATGAGCGACCCGAGTGTCGCACATACCAGACAATCAGATGTTATTCGTGCATTTGTCGATCAACGACGAACGATTTATCTCACCATCAGCTGCTCGTGCGTGCATGTCGCTGTCGGAAACACACTTGAAGCCGCGTTGCATCCTCTCAAGGCCTCAGGGACTAGATCACACGATGCTTATGCACGACGAGGCCCAGCGATTGGTAGCACTATTGATAATGTTACATAACGTCGTGCGTACTGTGTCGTCTTCTTTCGCTTCATGCTGTCTCCTGCGGGTGGCCGACGAGCTTCACGTTGCTCACGCCCTCCCTGAGCTTCGCCAGTCCGAGAATGATGCCGTGCAAGCCATTCGGCAGTACCTCGACCCGGTTCGGCTGTCGCAAATCAAGACCATGGTCAGCATCCGCTCCCGCCCAGATCCAACGGCCCCGACCGACCTTGATCGCGCCCGTCTCCAACAGCCCCGTCAGCTGAGCGTACAGGCTGCGGCCCAGCGCACGGTTCTGCGGCACGTTCACGTTTGCGAACACGCTCTGGATCTTCCGGTCCTTCGTCTGCTTCGCCTCGGGCACCGCGTTCGCAAGCACAATCACCATGGTGCCATCCGGTGCGAGCAGCTCGTAGCCCACATTCTGCGTGTCTGCGCCCGACACTGCGTCGAATACGACCTCGATCGGCGCGGACGTGATCTGCTTCACCGCTGCGCGCAGTGCGTCCCCGGAGAGTGCGCGGTCAAGCACGTGCGTCGCGCCGAGGCCCTGCAGATACGCTGCGTTGTGCGGCGACGCCGTCGTGATGATCGGGCCGAACCCGGAGAGTTTCGCGACCTGGATGACTGCGCGTGGCACGGCGGCGGTCAGTCGGCCGCACGCGCATGAAGAAAGGCGGAACTCACCGTACTGCCCGACGGAACTCGCGCCGGCGAAGACGACAATGGGCTTTCCTGCGTACTTGCCTGCACCGCCGTCAGCCCACGGTGGAGTAAGGGCGAGCCCAGCGCTGTAGAGGTTGATGACGGCGGTAGCGAGCCCGAGGGGGACGGTGGACGCCTGGTCGAAAGAAATGTTGTCGGGGATCTGGTGCGTCCGGGAGGGGTATGGTGAGCGGCACGGTACGGCACAGGGGCATGATGGCGTACCTTCGCAGTGACGTCTGCATTGGAGAGCGTGTATTGCTGGAAGCCACCGTGGGTGATCTCGTTGATGACCCCCTGTGTGAGACTGCTCGGCCGTCAGCAGTGGACAAGGCTGGGAGAAGGGGGGACGAGACAAGCTTACACTCGGTCGCCCTTGGCGAACCCGGTGACGCCCTCGCCGAGAGCCTCAACGGTGCCGGCGATGTCGACGCCGTGCACGGCGGGGAACTTGTTGATGTAGATCTCATACGCCTGGATCTTCCAGTCGACGGGGTTGAGCGCGCAGGCGTGGACTTTGACGAGGATCTCGCCGGGGCCGGGGGTGTACACGGGGACGGTATCGACGAGCCAGTCGCCCTTTGCTTTGGGGAGCACGACTGCTTTCTGCTGGGCCATTGTAGCTCTATGGGTCTTGGGGCTTGAGGTCGGTGGCTGACGATGGTGGACAGGGCGATGTTCCGTTATGGTCGGAGTGCTCTTATACACAGGCACCCTCTCCTGCCTTACACAAGCATTTTTCAAGAGTCTTTCGTGCCGCGGAGATAGGGACCTGGCGTCATGCAGCAGGTGCTGACCAACGTCTCGATTCTCGATCGTCCCGCCGCCATCAAGTCATCGGTGAAACGCCAACTTTCCTTGAGCAACCTGACATGCTCAACGTTCCTTGATTCAGGAAATAAGGTGAGAATAAGAAGCAAAAGCAACGGTCTCTTCAGCTTATTTGCCTTCATCAACTTGAATCCAGGGACCAAGGCAAGGTGAAGGCTGTGCAGGAGGTGTGCGGTTTGAGTGATGATAAACCGGATTTGCCCATTTATTGCGCACACTGTGATCTCGATGACAAAGCGCCGGACTTCAAATTGATATCTTTTTAGCATGACGGCACCCACATGAGTCCGCGCCAGCTGCGCATCGAGCGTCGATCTCAGATGCAGAGATCACACACGAACGATCCAAGCACATACTGCAAGATCGCCAGTACTTTTGCACCGATCGTCCCCGCACGGCGCGTTCCCCTCCAGACTCCATTCGCATCTCGGTTGCGCAACCAGCCACCAAGCTTGGCGGGTTCCTTTGTCCCATTGGAGCCACCCGATGAAGCCTGGTGATCACTGGAGCATCTGCCGCCGAAGTCACCCTCCCGATCATTTGGATGCGACGCTACGCAGGAGATAGGGCAGCTCGGAGTCGACGTAGGGGCTTCAGCGCTCAGCTTCAACGGCAGCAGAACGTGGCATACGCGCTCAAGCAGCACAGCCCTGGCTCGGCGTAAGCTCCTTAAGCGGCTGTCGCCCCGATGGGGGACGCGATCATCGCGAAACGCGACACAGACGTGCACGCCGCAACATCACCCAGGGATTTGCCTCGCGCGGTGGATCTGAGATCAGCGGTCCATGACTTCACGTTCAGCCATCGTTGACGCTCAGGTCTTGCGAGACGCACCGGAATGGACGTGCCGGCACCTCGACAGAGAACGCGGCCGGAAATGGTGTACACACACGTTGTTGACTAGTACTTGGTCTGAAGACTGTATTTGCTGCTTGTAGGCTATCAGTGCCTGGGCTTAAGCTTTATCGAAGCCAGGGAAGCATGCATGACTCGAGGACATCCTTGCACAGTCCGTGATGTCATGATCGACATCCGACATGTGCATGAGTGCTGTATTTGCATGTGCAGTGTCTGGCACGCACAACGCCCGTCAGCGTCAGCATCCGCACAGAGCCCCTCACGGCCCGTCCCTCCTCGGACCCCCTCCGCACACTCATCCATCCATGCCAGCCTCCCGCCAGTCTCAGCCGCAATCGACGCCCGCCGCCCCTATAACCCCTTGGCTCTTCCGCGATATAACACACCCTCCTCCTCTTCCTTACTACCACACACTTACACACCATGGCCACCTCCCGCCCTAGCACTACCATGAACACCGCGTACCCCACCCGCATCCCGGGCGCCGCACCCCAGCCCCCGCGAGCCCAGGGCGGCAGTGTCGGAGTGCGTCCCCTTCCAGCCTCCCACAGCACCCCGCTGCTATTGATGCTGACACGACCCCCC